CCCCCCCCCCCCCCCCCCCCACCCACGGCTCAGATGTTATTAATTAGTAACTGACACAAGGGCACAGATAACTGCTCATAGGTCGACTCACCCCGCACAGTGCACACGCATCCCTATGCCAGCCTCTGCAGCATAAAGTATGGTTGAATGTGGCTACATGTTGAGTCCCCGCCCTTTGCTCTGTCCCATGTGTCCTGCTGTCTCACCCATCTGCTGCCAGACTCTGTGTTGCAGCTGCCCTCTAGTGGCTGCTCCTCTGAGTGCAGCCAAATAGGCCAATAGATTCTGTGGCACTGAAATTTACTGGAGATTATCGTTCAAATTAACTTGCTTAAAACAGCTGTGTCCCTTTTTTTTTTTTTTTTTTGGCCCCATAGAATCCAGATTACTGGTGTGTCTAGACGGTGGGATGGACTCCAACACCAAACATCAGTGGGTCAATATCAAATGCCTTGTCCGTTTCTCAGGCGTTTCCTTCTTTGATCAGATATTTTCTGATTTTAAACCAGGAAACCTGTCTGACTTTAGACTGTATTTATTTAAACAACGCACTTCTTTTTTTTTTTTTCTTTAACTCAAACGATACCCAGCCCTGCTTTGAACCTTAAGGGCTTGTCTCCCCTCATAATGGACGGGTCCAGTATGTCTATGAGCCATCAGCAGTCCAACCAAAGTGTCTTCCCCTTCTCTAATTGTTTAATTTGAATATATATACACAGGCATGACAGGCTAAAAACTGTCCAGTACGCTTTTTGGAGAAAGGGTGAAGAAATGAACCTAATGTTGTGTAGACAGTATGTTTACCTACTCGCATTGTTTGCTACTCAGATTTACGTTGTGAACCCTTTGGGACGTTGGAAGCCATCGCTGTGCATCATGCACATTTTTGTGGTTCCTTTTCTGTCATTTATAGCAACAGTGTGATGACACAGATAACTCAACACATGAAACCTCCCACGGCCACATGTTGAGTCTCCCACCAGTAGGGGGACAGGAGTCACACACTCTGAGCTTCTCTTAACTCGTCTTTTAAAGCTTCAGATTCTGGAAATAAGTCCTTTTGTCTCTTTTTCTTGGCGCTATTGTGTCCCTTTTTTCGGGAGTTTCATTGTGTGCATCAACCGCAGCCTGTCCTTCACTGACCGTGCGTTTCTTTCTGAGCTGTGGCAGCCTGTGTTTAGAGAAAACACCCCCGTCCTTGTGTCTGCAGCCTGGTTTGTTTGTGACACGCCAACTAAAGGCTCACTCAGCGGCCTTCTTCTCTTTCCTGTGTACTTCCTGTCATGCCACAGTTTATTCCTCCTCCTCACACCTCTGCGTCTTAATGTGTCTGCACAGAAATGTTCTTTTGTCTCGCGAGGCAGTCGCAGTGGCAAAAAGAAAAAGAGGGAGGTGTGTTAATCTGTTGGCTCGCGGTCATGTTATGAGTGTGATGGGGATTAAAACACATCACCAAAACCAATCTGTCCGTTACACCGACAACCACGCTCCGCCGTAACCTGCACTGCCTCCCTCTTCTCTCCCTCCTTCCTCACCCCTTTCCCACTGATGTGTTTGTTATCAGAGAGCAGAGGGGGGAGGCGACGAAGCATCGCTCCTCGGGAGATTAGCGGCACGTGTCGGCCTTTTGATTTCCTGCCTTCCAGAGCTTGGAGCTGCCAGGTTATGATGAATAAAAAAAAAACATGAAACTAATATGAAGTATGCGTCGTCTCCAGGGTGCCGTGTGTGCGTGTGTTGTCTCAGCATTCAGACAGTCGGATAAGCGAGGTGTGGCGCACTGATGTACATCGGGTCCACATGCAGGCGATGGATGCGTGGCGATGGAACATGGCATGCTTCGGCCACACAGTAGACAGTGTGGGACAACTGGTGCTATTGTCACAACTCTTCATGTGTGACTGTGTTTCATCCATGTAAACTGTAACTCAACGCCGTTTTGTTCATTTCTCTTTTGTCGACCCACGTCTTCACGCTCGTCCTCCTCTTTTTGTAAACGACCTCCACGGTTCAATGGCGACAAGCAGGAGAGCGAGAGCTGAACAGAGAGAGATCTTTTGTTTCCAAATTAGGCACCACTCCTTGCCAAAACTAACTGTTATTGTAAAAAAATGTGACATGAAATCCCCACTCAATGCTGCCACTGACTTTCCACGAGAGATACGCTGGCGTGGTGTGGTTTAATCTCGCGTGTCTCCCTCCTGGATGGGAATCGAACCTCCTTCTGTGCATGCCGGTGATCCACTCTCTCCACGGGGCGGAGCGTCGAACCCAGAGAGAGAAGAGTAACCCCCCCCCCACACAGCCACAGACCTCTGACTTTATGAGGAATCCTAATTACATAGCCTGGTTTATTTATACTCAGCTGTGACTCAGTAGGACACTTGTGTGTGTGTGTGTGTGTGCGTGTGTGTGTGTGTGTGTGTGTGTGTGTGTGTGTGTGTGTGTGTTAGTGAAAGTGTATTTCAACCAGGGATGAAGTGGAGTGTCTTTCCAGCGAAGTTTAGTCTGGGATCATTGAAAAAAAAGATCCTTTAAAGTGACTTTGTGTAACTTTTAAAAAGAAAAATAACACGACGATGCTCACAAACGAAAAGAGGAATTCAGAAGCATTGAAAGGCAACGTTGCTCAGCTCAACACACTCGGGTGTTCTGCTGCTGCTGCCACAGGCGGTCGCTTTTATTGGCGAGTATTAGCTGATGTTAGCAAAAGTTAAAGCGACGTTGCTGAGACCTTACTGAGTCAGCTTTCTGTCAAAGGAACATTTCAAAGGATCAACGCAAAAGTAAAACGAGTAATAAACTCACCGTACTTCAACGCTTGTGTTTAATATCATTATGGTTGTTTGGAGTTGGTCTTGGATGGAAAGTCTGTGTTGAACCTGAGGGCATTGAGTTTTAATGACATGGGGGCGTTTACCAGGCAAGGAGGTCTTTAATGAAATACACTATTGAGTTGCATTATGGGAAGTGTAGGAATTCAGGGTTTTGGAGTTGACCGACATACACGCACACTTTTGTTTTCCTACATGGTTGGCCAGCGTGTTGTATAAAGTAGTTATTTTAAACTGACATGAGGAAAAAACAACTTTCATCTTTTGTATTTTTATTGTGAATATATTGAATATTGATTTTAACTGCATATCATTGGCAGATCACAAAACACTCATTACTATAAAAGCTACTCACCAAACAAGTCAAATGAGTCTGTTTTCCATGATGCGTATATATATAAAGAGAAGGAAATAAAGCAAGAAAGCAGTTAAAAACAATGCAACTCATGGGATTAGATCCTAAAATGAACGCTCTTTATATAATAGTGAATATTTGCATCGTGACGCACGATGTTCTTGTTTACGTTTCTTTTTATTTATCTTCTCGTCAACCTTCTCAAACTCTTCCAGACTGCAGTGTGTGTTCCCGTATATCCAGAGGGTACAGCCTCTGGGCCGACGGTCAAGTCCATACTTGTCCCGCTGCGCGGCAGGTGAAACCTGTCTAACCTCGTCGGTTAACGGATGCGCGGTGTGTTGACAGCGATGAGCGTTGGAGGGGAAAGTCGGTCGTCTGAAACAGCATGGTCACCTGTCTGCCGCTCTTCCACGGATGCTGGATACCTGGCTGTTTGGTGAGAGCTCTGCCGGCCGAGGCGAGGTCACTTCTCTGACTGACTGTTTTAGTGGTGTGGTGTTTAGGTGTCACTGTGCCGTATGGCTGGATCCTGTGAATACAGGAGAGAGAGACTGTGAGAGAGAGAGAGAGAGAGAGAGAGAGAGAGACTGTGAGAGGGATTTTGAAGAAGAGGTCATCTTGACATCCAGTAGCAGCCGTTTTTTTTCGGGGGTTTTTTTTTTTTTTTTTTTTTTTTTTTTTTTTTTTTTTTTTTTTTTTTTTTTTTTTTTTTTTCATTTTCTCCTCTCATTATCATCTCTCCTCCTCTATTTTCCCCTCTTACGCAAAAACAAAGAAAGGGAGTGAGACAGTGAACACAGCAGAGAGGCAAATGTTTTCTTTTCTCTTTGTGCTGTAAATTCGCCTCTTTCTTTCTCTCTCTTTCTTTTTTTTTTGTGGGTCTCCCCTCTGGGTGGAGGGGAGGCGGCAGAGGCAGGGCCGGCTTTTGTGGAGTTTAGAGCCTGGATCACAGCTTTGTCACTTGTGTCGCTCTCTCTCTCTCTCACACACACACACACACACACACACACATGCAGCACACATGCGGCTTCGTCTACAACAATCTAATGGATTTAGCCGACAGGAGATACCTCCATCTGGACCCCCCCTTCGCCTCCAACGTCTGGCCCCAGCGATGCCCAGTGTTCTCGGATCAAACTGCAGAGTTCCAGTTTACTGTACATTACAGTTGCTTGTTTGCTGATGACCGTCGGACCGGCTCGTGCTGAGGGAGGGTTTGTTTGGATACCGGTTTGAGGAGCAAAAAAACAAGGAAGAAAGCAAAACAGAAAAGGAGTGACAAGACAGAGGGATGAAATAACCGATGCTCGCTGAGATAAAGAAAGTTTTGGAGATGACAGTTAGGTGAAGGGATTTGTTTGGCACTAGAGAGAGAGAGAGAGAGAGAGGGAGGGGGGGCAGTGAGAGGGAGGAGAGACAGAGGGTCCAGCCCTCTGGGACAGCGGTGTATGTTTTGGGGGTGGACAGAGTGGCTTTGTATGCAGAACACCGCCGGACACCGACGGGAGGGACTGTCAGTTGTTCTCTGTGTGTGTCTGTAGCGAAACCAGACCTACCTCTGATGCCTGCGCCGCACACACACTCCTCCATCTGCTGCCCGGGAGCCTGCCTTCTGCTTCCTCTGGACTCAACCGCTCCGAGAGTGTTTGAATGTGTGTGTGTGTGTGTGTGAGAGATATTTGGAGAGCTCATTCCCGGAGGTCAAGAGGCTGTGATGTTGAACTATTGGGATTAAACTTTCTGACGGCGATGGAGTGGAGCCAGGAGACGGGAAGTTCACACTCTTGATTGACTGAAGAGTCCCAGAGGAGGATTTTTCGAAAGCTCCACTAAAACCACCCGTATCTTCCGTATTTCTGCGTCTGGACTTGGTCCACAAGCTTGTGTAGTCTGTGTGTCTGTGTGTGTGTGTGTGGAGCAGCCCATGTGGGCGTTGAGGGATGCGGATCTGAGAGAACTCCACGCCCCGATGCCCGCTGCCATGCTCCCGTGCCCTTCGCAGGCCGGGCCTGACTGGAGCTTCCAGAACCCGGTGGGGGTGGACTGCAGCTCCCCCGAGCCTCGCTGCATCTGGCTGGCGGTGCTCCGCAGTGCCACGGGTTCAGTTCCGCCACCCACGCCGCCCACCGTGCCCACTAGGCGCAGCCAGAGCTGCCACCATCCCAGGGTAAGGACGGGTCCTCCTCTAGCGGCCGGACGTGGAGTGCTTTAAAATGAGTCTGATATGGATGGTTTTTATGCATTGCTAGAACACGTATTGATTGTTATCAGTTTAAAAAAAGCTGCCGATTCATTGGAGAAGCTGCTGGATGATTATTCTACTTAAAACAACCAGTCAGCCGCCCCTCCTGCGATCTGGGATTATCGTGCAAAACATTTTATTTTTCTGTGGCTCTCCAGAAATAAAACCCTCGGTGATATCGTGATATCGGCAGAAAACTCTCCAGAAACCGCGGTGTGGGATGTTGTCAGTCGCGCATGTAAACAGAGCATCTGTGTAACTGTTCCCATTGTTTGAAGTCTGGTAACCACTCAGCTGCTGACAGGTTATTTAACCTTTCAGTGTGCAGAAAGTTGCGTTGCCTTCGGGCTGTTTCTGTTTGCCGCTCGCTGTGTCTTCGACTTCACGGGGAAACAATGTGTCGGCACTTTTGTGTTGACGCATTAAGATGCACAGTTAGATTATTACTGTGTGTACTTTAAGGACATCGTCCCTTCAAACATGTCCACCAACTGTTGTTTATTCCGGCAGTAGTGGGTATATGTGACATTCTGTTTGTTCTGGTTCTCCTGATTATTTAAATATCACTACAAGGCAGGCAGCTACCAGTACAAAAATAATTTGGGTGTATTTTTTACAGTACAATTATTAAATTATTCATCATTTCATTTCTTATAAGACCATTTCCTAATGTAGCTTGCTAACACACAAACAATGCTATATACTATGGATTATGCATTGTTGATATAACGATCTATATTTCTCTGCCCCACTTCTTTCTGTTTTTCCACAGCTGACGTGTGATTCTGCTCGTGTGGCATATCGACCCTCTCGCTCCTTGGAGGGGTTTCTAATTAGCGGCTAAAGGGGGGGGGCTGCTAAGTGCCACTTTTTGCGAGGGGTTGTGGAAGCTGTGCGATTGCGCCTCTCCCACAATGCCCGAAGAATCCAGGGCATCTCTTCCCCACGTGATCTCATTTCAGTGAGGGCATTTATGTGGAATATCACCTCCTCTTTTTAACCGTTTCTCCTGGTTGTTAGCATCCCTCCCCCCGCCCCCGATGACACAGTGCCACAATCAGGAATGTGAGTGTGTGGGGGGGCTGTATTAACACAGCTGGGACAAACACACGATGTACGCAGTTCTGTTTAAAGAGAGAGAGAGATGTTTGCTATAGAGAGAGAGGTGCTCACATCATGCAGTTTGTCCGGTCATAAGGCTGCGATTTTTTTCTTTGTTTGTAGTAATTTCGTTAAGATTTTCTTGGTAGTCGATCGGCTTCCATCTTTGTACCGCGAGTAGTTTTTTGTTGTCAGGTTTGCATTTATTTACCTATAGCTACCCTCACAGCGTGTAAAGATGAAGAATAATATAGAAACACCTACATGAAAGAAAAACAATGCAGTTATTTCATGTCAATGAGGTTATAAAGTGTAAAAAAAAGCAGTTCCATGAATTGCATCTATATCATAATTGAAGAAGCTTTTTTTTTTTTTTTCAGGAAGTATTTAAACTCTCATCTCACACTAACTCTGCCCACTGAGCTACCGCGTCGTCCTGTAAAATGTATTCTGAAACTGCTGCTTCTTCTCCTCCTGAGCTCACAGGCACCAGTGGCAGTGAGGCAGATGTCACTCAGACAAAAGAGAACGACAATATGTTTTGCTGTTCAAGTAGAACACCCTGTTTAACCGACATTGCATCATCACCTGTTGGCCCAGTTGAGCCGACAATGGTGTTGAACTGGTTTCTGAGCATACATATTTTATTCATATTGAAACGGGTGCGTGCAAATGCACGCACACACACATACGTGCAAAGCCTCACATGCGTGGCTCCTAAAGCGTCTTGTTATGCAAATTACTGAGCGATGTGGAGCATTTGAACTTGTGCTGCATGTCTTTATTTTGAGTCCTCAGATCTAACTGCAGGTTGGGTACTTTGGTTGGAGTGTTGAGAGCACAGCTGGACATTCATACACTCATCGCGCGTCTCCTTCTCGAGGCATATAGGATGCACATAGACCTGCAGATTGGGTGCAGCGTGCCCTCTTGTGTGGCCGGTGAGTTCATGAATCATCATCATCCAGAGTCCCTCTCCCGTTCCCTCTTGGCAGCCCGGCTCAGGGGGAACGTGGGTGCAGACAGCTACAGCTATCAGGATTAAAGGCCCGTCAGCATTTGTAACGTCCGTAAAGCTCCACTTTTCAAACAGGTTGCAGCTCTCAGCTGTTTAAAAGGGCATTGTTGTTCTGGCCCTGATGGGGTTTTAGCAGGAGCCCGGCTCCCCGATGGCCGCTGCATTCCTGCGTACTGCTTTGGAGTGAGTGGATGGAGTGAGGAGAGGAGAGAGTGTGTGTGTGTGTGTGTGTGTGCGCGCGCTAACCAACACGTACTCTGTTACTGATTATTAGGACTGCAGCATGACAATATCGTCATGTCCTAGAAAAGCCTCTTACAAACAGAAAATCACATTTTACTGGATTTTCTGAAAGATTATCACCCACGCTGTTTATTATTTTACATTTTTTTATGTTTTAACAAAGCTGATGGAACTCTAGATTTTTGGCACGAGGTGTTATAGATTTACATTTCTAACTAAACAGACGTGTTATAATCCTACCAGCAGGACATCCTCTGCTCTCCACTTATATTTAGTCCTTTCAGTCATGCATCTTAATGATCTGCTCTCTAATTGAAATTAGGAGGGGATGTAGCCACAGGGAAGTGTGTGTGTGTGTGTGTGTGTGTGTGTGTGTGTGTGTGTGTACACACCACTTTACCCACTAAACACACACTCAAAGCAGGAAGCCGTCGCGTGGCATTACCAGCTGCTCTGCATATTCAAATCCAATTGTTTCTCAGGGCAGCTTTTTTCCTGTGTGTTTTAATGACATCATTCAGGTGGTAATGGGATCCCTCGCGGCTCTGTATTATCTAAAGGGCATTCAGAGTTTATTTTGTTATTGTAATGAGCTTCAAGAGGCGAGGACGTGTCAGGCAAAAGTGGTGCAAAAGGATAAATTTCCCGTAGGAGAGGAGGAAATACCAAATGTTCATAACAAGAGTGAGGTTTCCCTTTTCTGTGCCCTGAGCCTGCATAGGAAGTCAAGTTTAGACTTAAAAACCACAGAACATTTTTTCCAAGTGCCTTGTTGGTTAAACAGAGTGTCTGGAGGGGCCGGAGCACGTCAGCAAGTTTGGGCTCTATTTCTTTGCTTTTGCTTTTGGGTGAAATCGGTGGAAGAGAAACTGGTCGTGTGAAGGGGATTTTTGTTTTTCTGGCTTTAGGGGAAAAAAGTGGACTGACGACTCGGCAGAATAGCCGAGCAGAGACGCACGTCCCACACAGTCCAGAGCAGCCGAGTGGGGAGACTCTGCTGGCTCAGAGACCCAGTCGGACCCCGTGTGTTTTGGGTAATCACAGGGTTTGGTATTCACAGCGCCGGGAGGGGCCATGCGGTCGAAACCAGCGTGCCGGAGCCTGTCCCTCGCTGGGGCCCGATACTCCTCCTCTCCGTCCTCCTCGTCCTCTCGGTGCTCCCTCCCCTCCTGTGTGCCGGTTACAGTGTGTGCTTCGACTTGTCAAAGCCAAACCGCTCCCTCTGAGGAATTCTCTTCCTCCTTTTCACCCTCATGCTCTTTCATTTCCTCTTTTTTCTTTTTCACTCTTTGTCTTTTCTTTTTCTTTATCATTTATATTCAACACCCCAAACATTCCTCCTTCCTCAAGCACTTCTTTTATGCTGTTTTCATGCCACATAATAGGCCTGGATTCTCGCCTCTTTGATAAAAATAGCAGGGGTTACTTTACATTGTTTAGACTGCCAGACTAAGGATCAGGCTTTGTGTGTCAACTTATATATATATCTGCAAAGTTAAAACATATTTCAACAAGAAATCTAAATGTCCAAACATATTTTTGGTCTCTTTTTCCCCTGGATGGAATGTTTAAAGTAGAGGGGGAGGAAAATGAACAGTAAGCACACGTGCTGAGAGAGGAAGAGGAGGTGGAAGGGAGGTGAGGTGAGTGGAGGAACATGGAAGGAAGGATGAAGAGGAGTGAACGAGTGGAAGTGGCCTCCATGATGGAGAGTATAAGATCTGTGAGCGGTTTTATTTATAGGAGCATCTGGTTATCCCGCAACGCTGCCAAACTTCCTGCCTCTAGCCTGCCACTTCCTGTTGTTGTGTGGCCGCATTACCAGGCCTGGCGGGTCAAGTTTGTGTGTCTGTGTTTGTTATATATCAGTGTGTGGAAGGGCGACAGGAAGTAGGGAAACGTGGGGTGCTCATTTCGTGTGTGTGCGTGTGTGTGTGTGGCAACTTGTCTGGCAGACAGGTTAATAAACTAGAATTAAAACACACACATTCACTCAATTTAAACTGATTTTAGAGAAATAGAAAAACGTTGAGGAGTTTGGTGTTTTGGTCAGCTGACTTTTTTAACGATGGTATGAGTTAAAAGATGTTTCATGCATGAATCAGCCAAACATGACCACAGCTATCTTGTGCACCTAGTTTGCTTTGTTTAATCGTAACCCCTCGAGCGTTCTGTTTTACTTTGGCGGAATAAAGCTGGCAGGAAAAACAATGCACACCAAACCGCACCTAGAGCGGCGTAAACGTCCACGTCGTCGTGGGCTGAGGCTGTTTAGTAGCTTGAATTAATTCAGATTTATCTTCTGATCATGGCGACCTTTTCCATATTCATTAGTCATATTCTTTATCATCGCAGTATTCGTAGGATGGGGGAAATCTTCAACAAATCGTGTTCGCTGAAGCGTGCGGCGCAGGGATTCATTGCTGATGATTATAGTGTTAAACTGTCCCCTAACTTTAAGATCTGCTCCTTTAGGTCACAGAGACAGAAGAACAGTTTGATAGTGACTAGACCTCCTCCTCACTCTCCTGCCTGTTTGGTCAGGTGATGGTGTTTGACTGACAGGTGTGGGTCATCGGGGCAGCGGGAGGGTGATAGTTCTCACGTGTGTCTGTCAGCTGAGCGAGCTGCGCTTATTTACTCGGCTTCAGGAATGAGATATTTAGAGAGCGGAGTTCAGATTCTCCCAGGACCTTCTCTCTCTGTCATAAAAAACAATGTCAGAACTGGGTTTGCCTCCTTGGTTCCTGTCTAGACGTGGCCCTCCTTGATAGTGGACCCACATGTGCTTATGGACCATATTGTTCTGAGACTGACCTGACCCTGAGCTTCATTCAGGACTCCAACACTAACCCATTTTAGAACCTTCCATCTAAACGTATCAAAAACATATACATATCCTGAATCTCTCTCTGTGTCTGTGTCCACAGGGCAAAGGGCGGAGGGATGGTCTCTCCTCAGCCGGTGACAACCCTCGGCCGCCGATGGCGACCCGGCCGGGAAGGGAGGGGCTCGGCGTGGGCTGGAAGGGTCCCCGGACGCTGGTCCTGCAGAAGAACTCCCTGGGTTTTGGTTTCACGCTACGCCACTTCATCGTTTACCCTCCAGAGTCGGCCCTGCACACCAACCTCAAGGTGAGACCTGCAGGTCCTTGAGAGATTTGAGTTTCAAGCTGTTGAATTATGTTAAATATATACAGCCTTAAGGACGGGCCTCGTGTTTTTCTTCCTTTTAATTTAGTGTCAAGTGTCGTGAAGTTCTTTTTTTTTTTTACAACTTCCATGTTTATTTTTACAGCACACATGGTCTCCATTTCTTCCTCGCTGGCATTTAAAAAGGGTTTCCAAAAAGCCTTACGTTTAACTCGCTGAACCCAGGACAGAGCCAATTTGAGCTCGGAGATAAAGCCAATCATACCGGAGCTGAGGGTCAGTGAGTTTGAGCTGATTAAAAATTAACTCGCAGACAAAAGGAGAAAGCAAGCCGATTGGAGACAACATGCTGAGCAAACCAATCCTGTTGAAGGTTGTTAAAAGAGGCACAAACAAGATGTGGACACTGAATAAAGACATGACTCTTTATTGGTGAAAACAACATTTCGAGCACCTCCATACCCAAACCGACTGAAAAGTCTTCATTCTTTTTCAGTATCGCTTTACAGGCCTTAGTTGTTTTTTAGTCTCTGGTGAATTCCGGATTGTTCTGGTGTTTTGGAACCGTCCTCTATGTGAGTGAGCGGTTATTTAGCTCTTTTGAGGTGCGGGGGCAAACGGCTCCAGATGTGAAATTGAGGGATATGGAGGCTGGGGTGGGGTGAGCCAGCTGAAACAAGGCCTCTATTATTATTGTTGTACCACCCCACCATCCAGCAGCTGCAGATAGGAACACAGATTGAATGAGGCCTGTTGTGTTAGCCTGGTACCACTCTCTGGCAGTCAGGCCGTACCAGGCTGGCCCCGGACAATAGGCCCACTGCTGGCCTTTGGCCTCGGTTCTGTCCTCGTCTCCTCTGCCCCGAGGGTCACATGGTGTTTTGGGGACAATCGGACTCACAGAGCCGCCCGTTTTTATCTGAAGAGCCGTCGTGGAAGTCTCCCAAATTAACCTCATAGTGACCAATTAGAGGCCCACCGGGTGCGTGACCCAATTGGCCATTTATTTCATGGTGTCTGTCGGTCCTGAAAGTCTTCAAGAGACTTAAATTATATTATCTAGATATTATCTTCTACTGTGTGGTCGCAGCACAAGTCATTCTTTGATAATAGCTTGAATGTGCATCTTCTTCTGGCATAACCCTCCCATCTAACATGTTCTAATAATCAAGAATATAATAAATAATAATAATCTATGCACCTGCATGTTGCATGAACCTGTAACTTTGTGCCAGGTGGAATTTTAAACTTGACGGTATATAGAAAAATACAGCATCTGTTTACAACTACCCAACTACACTGAACTGGGAATGCATTGGGCTAGAGCAGGTGCTTGCACATGTATTTGAGTAACACAATCTAACTGCACTGTGCATCTGCAAAACACTGCTGATAAATGAAAAGAAAAAGAAAGAAAGATATTTGTCTGATTGTGAGATGTGTAATTTCTACATCGAAAATCAAAATTTACATTTTTTGACATTAACTTAAGACAGAAATGTCACTTTGACGAAAGCCCTCTTCTACCAAATGACATTTCATATTTGGTTTTTGGAGACTTTAAATTGAGATTCTCAGTCCAGACAATGAACTATTTTCAATATTTGTTTTTCAATGAGCAAAAATCCCGTTATACAAAGCTTAAAATATCTCTCAATTGACCGGATGAAACTGTAAATTATTTTGGCCGAGTTTAAAGTCAGGACGGGTCGTTCTACAAACAGTCCCTTCCAGCTGCTTCACACTATAAAGGTCTGGACCCGTAGGGACAGTATTTGACCCAGATGCCCAGACTCTCTCACTGGCTCCTCCTCTGTCCCGGATGTGTTCAGACTAAGGGCTGCTCAGTTGTCGAGTGTCCCCAGCTCGGAGCTCCATTCTGGGGTCGGCAGCTCTTCTTTCTCTGCCTCTAAACCCCCCGCCATTGTCTGCAGAGCCAGGAATGAGCCCACTCAGCGCAGCATAAAGCCAGGCAGCAATCAGCCCACCGTGCCCCTAACCCCAAACTGTCCACTCAGCTTAGTATACGTGTGTGTGTGTGTGTGTGTGTGTGTGTGTGTGTGTGTGTGTGTGTGGACATGATCAGACAAACTGCAGCTATCCAATCTCACCACCAGCTCTGTGTGTTTACTACGCATGACGTCACGAGTACCTGCAGACGGTCGAACCTGGAAGTCAGTCTCTGTGTCGAAGCTGCGCTTCAACATCTAAAGCTCATAAAAGCAAACACTTCGGTCTCGGGATGTTTGGCACGAGACGCTAGGGAAGTCACCGGCAGTCTGGTTAACACTGATTATTGATTGACTTTTTTCTTCTTCTAATTATTATTATGACAGGGGTTGACCAGGGGAAGTTAAGATTTTAAACTGTGTTGTGTCGAGTTCATTGTTAAAAGGTGGAGCATAAGCAGTCCTGCTTGTGTCGATGCTGTAAAGTAGAAGCCCTCACCACTGCTCCATGTGTTAGGACCTGTGTCCTGCAGTAAGATATAAACCCTGATATCAACATGTGTTAATACTCCTGCCTGTGAAAGCAGCGATAGACTCTTTTTTTTTTGCCTAAATGTGAAATACTGAACAGCCCAAAATGTTCTCCAAATAAATGAAAGTAAAACAAACTTATTATCAAGCTCATATATTTATCTAGGGGTCATTTTTGGGGCCTCTGGGTGTCTTTCTTGACTGTTCTATCATTAGTGATAGCAACATTATGTTGTTAGCAAAAGTAAAGCTTTTTCTGTGACACGTTAACATTGTTGGGCTCTAGTGATGAAGTTGACTGTTTCTGTTCTTTGCAGGATGAGGAGAATGGTAACGGAAAGGGTAAGTGTTTCTCTTTTTCTTTTTCTTCTCATCAGACTACAAATACTAATCTAGTGCAGTGGGATAACAATGATGTAATGAACTGGGATCTCCTGCGTTCCCTCCTGTCTCTTCTGCTCGGCGGCCTATCTGCGCCCCCTACAGGACGCTATGCAACACTGCATCTAAAGTACCAGGAGCCAAGGCCAGCTGATTTTAGATAATAACATAAGAACAATAACAAGCACAGACTGTTACGTATTAGTAGATAATCCCTGGCCAGGAAGATCACAAACACAATTACTCAAAAGCCTCTCATATACCAGGAGCAACCTAAAGCTTTATTTCTTTAAAGTTAACATGAATCTTTCTTCAGCAGGCACAATCTCTGATCTTTTCACTCCTCCTTCTTTACCTTCTCTCATGCAGGGTATCAGAAAGGTCGACTGGAGCCGATGGACACCATATTTGTGAAGAGTGTGAGGGAAAAAGGGCCGGCCCATCAGGCGGGCTTGTGCACAGGTAAAGGGAACATATGGTGCAGGAGCATGAACGTCCTGATTTGCATTGTAAATCTGTCGTGGGGGAGAGCTCCGGTCACGTGATGCTGCAGACATGAGCAGATTCAGAGAAGAAGAAAAACAGACCGTTTCTCGTTAGCAATAGATTATATCAAGAATTATTTTTCCCTGACGAGAGATTAGTTGTTTTTAACGTCATTGGGTGATTTAACAACAATCGTATATAATAATAATAATAATAAAACGAAGTAGAATGACTATAATAATACTGATGATAATAATCATAATCATAATAACGTTATTAAACAGAGATACGATTAAGATCAGATCAAAACTTTACAACAGTGGAGTAAAAGAAACGCAGGAAAAACAAGCGATTCCAAGCTCCTTAACGGCAGTGCATCCGGTGTGATTCACATAAAAGCCTGTTTTTTTAAAGCCTGTTTTTAGAAGGGATTTAAAAGATGAAATAGATTTTGCTCTAATTTCCTCAGGCAGTTCGTTTCAGCGTACAGCCTTGTCTGAGTATTTAAGGTTGCATTCTGGCTCATAAAGAGTTAAAGGGTCAGCAATGGAGCCAGGGGCCTTTCTGTGCTTTAAAAATAATCAGTAAAGTATTTGAATCAGTGCTGTGTCTTACTGGTAGCCAGTGCAGAGATGCTAAGAGACTGGCGTAATATGGTCTCTACGTTTAGTACCAGTTAAGATTCAACCTATATCATGTCAGAGCAGAATAAGGTTTTTTCAGTTTTGCTTTCATTTAACTAACTCTGTGACATCCGACACTCAGAGTTTACAGATAATACAGATACCAGTACGACAACTCCGATGTTCACGTTCATTTGAATGTGACAGAGCTATTGAAGTGTGCTTGTTGTGTCTTGCTGCTCAGACAGAACAGACTAGTCCTGCAGTGTGCATGCTCCAACACACGCTGTCACATCCAGAAAGTCACAGGCCAGCGTGAACACATGCAAACACATTACAGTCTGAGCACTTTGAATGTGTTTCAGCCTGGATGAAGTCTCCATGACTGCATACAAATTGTGAACACGTAGTTCTCTAACGACTTTTTCTGGGTCGTCGGTTCACGAACCACTAAGCTGTGCCGACATCCCGTTTACGCCTTATTCCTACTGGCTGCTAATCTGGGGTCAGACTACTGACTACTTTAAACATATGGTAATGTCATGGATGTGCTCATTTTTTAGAAGGTCACCAACAGACGCTTTCTTTAAGACAATAGGGCTTGCTCTTTATTATAATGATAAAAACTACAAGTTTAATTTTGAATTGTCTTTTCAGACCAAACACGAATACATCTTGTTAGTCTTGGTGTGAAAGATTTGAAAGTGAAAAATAGTCAAAAGAATATTCTGTATTTTCTTTTAATTTTTTTGTTTTGTCGCTGGTGTGAACAGGCCTTTAGTATGCCTCCCATAATATAGATAATAGACTTAATGTTTTGCCTGCATGTTTTGTTCAGACACACTTTGGCCATTAGAACGTAAATAAAAAGGATTTTGTAGTAAATTAAATTACAACTTATTTCCACAACTGAATTTCAAGTTTTGACAGCTGCCTTGGTCCCTGCTTCGTGAGTCTCTCTCGCCCGGAGGTCTGCACCTGCTTGAGATGTCAAAGGTCAACATCCAGATCTCCCGTATTAACCTGTAAAATGTGCCGGATACGATATGATAACACGTCCGTGTCTCGCAGGAGATCGGCTGGTGAAAGTGAACGGAGAGAGTGTTCTAGGAAAGACGTACTCGCAGGTGATAGCCCTAATCCAGAACAGGTAAGACCCCCTCTGCCTGTCAGCACTTCGAGCCTTCGGTGTGATGATTTAGAGAACCATCTGTTTGCTTTTTCTTTACCATCGACATGACACACACACATGTAGTCGCCAGTATTTGTTTGCTCTGCCTTTTCAAAAAAGAGTAGCCTGAAGCAGCGTAGTCTCCTCACTCACGTGGTCTGAAAGACGGATACCGTGGCTCTCCAGAGGGGGATTTAGAGGCTTGGAAAAGTGACACTGGACTCTGGAAGGTTTTATTCTGGTGACCTTTTTCTATTCAAATGCTTGGATTAGATGCTGACATTTTATTATCAGTTATTTTAGACCCCAAAATCCACAGGGAGGTTAGAGGTCAGCTGCAGCACAGCCGGCTGGTGTTAGGGATGTGCGAACCAAGTTTTTACTCTCCTGATGTGAGATACCTCGACTCAGACTGCTGACACCAACTCCCAATCTGATACCAGTGTTCGCCTTTTTTCCCTCAAACTAAAGATCTGTTTACCTCTCAGCATGGAGCTCATTAAGAACATCGTTATGTAAGGTAGCATGGAAGGGATCGCTGTGGTACTGAATGTAAATCGTGGCAGAAACACTGAACTTTATAATGATGTTGGTGATGAAAGCGTGTTTGATGTGGATCGGTTGCGTCTGGCCGATACCCGATCCACTTAATGAAGTCAATGAAGCCTGATACAGCGTCGCCGGATCGATTCTGTGCGTCCCCAGCTGGTGTCCACTTCAGCTGTCGATGTTTTAGTTTAGTTAAACATTTCTATAAATTAGAGGATTAATAAAAACATTACATTGTATCAAGCACCAGGTCAGGATATTGGATGTGAGCCTGTTTTATTTGTCTTCATTCTTCCCGTCCTCCCCTCTTCTTCCTCCCCTGTACATGTCTCACAGTGAAAGTGTGTTGGAGCTCTCCATTATGCCAAAGGATGAAGACGTGCTTCAGTTGGTAAGTGTGAGTATGGGATTTTTCACGCACCTTCTCTGAACAAACTAACCCACACGCATCATGCACTGCACACTTAGATACTTGATTGTTTTGTTAGATTTTGGATTATGTGAGGACACTGCAGGAAGTCGTATTTGCCGAGTTTAACCTGGATTCTCCGTCATTGTCAAAGAACGTAGAGAGTTTGTTGGAATGGCTGCAGAGTGACTTAGAGGCTCTCTGCTCTGCGTTTAGATTACATCATTAACAGCCACTGTCGAAGCTTAGATTTGAAAAAAAAAAGAAACAGCTCCGTGCTCGTTCACACACCCATGTACTGTACAACACATTTTTGTCGCTCCACAGGTCGCTCACATGATCAGACATGCATCAATCCTCGCCCCTCCCATTAACCCGGAGCACCATGTCAACACACAAATACCAGATACCGCCAGACTTGAGTGATCCTTGTCACACATGCAGAAACATCAGTGTCCCTGCCCGAAAGAGGCCAAAGCTTGGTTCTCCCTTTTACGTTTAACTGCCATATCTTAACATTATAAACCCACTCCTCTGTCCTGCCACTCCTCCCCTTCGCTGCTTCGCTTGTATCTGCTGCATTCCTGGCATGACATCAGCAGTGCTGCGCCTCCTTCCACACTCTCACAGGGTGGAGTAAGTCAGAGAATGAGAGGGAGGAGAGAGGGAGTTTGGAACGATCCAACAGAGGAGAAAACAAGAAACAACAGATGAAAAAACAAAACGTACGACAAAAAGTAATAGGAAACGAGGGAACCGATTGAACGTGTCTGGGAGAAGAGCGGCAGGTTGTAGCAGCAGGAGTGTTTGTGGTCTTCTCCCTCGTCCTCCGTTCCTCCTCCTCCTCTGTGACTGTTTGTGGCGACTATGAGCTAAACACGCAACCTGAGGAAAGATTGTGGATTCTGTTTGCTGGTGCAGGTATACATTAACAACTCGTCTGTGATTTTACTTAGCTTTACCTAATCTCGAGGGTGGAAAAGGGATCGTAGCTCGTATGTTTTTGTCCCTCTGGTGTTGTGAAGTTATAACTAATGCTTTAAACGTGACAAGTGTGGCTAATTGATAAAGTAGTCGGTTGATTATACACTTGTTTTTTGCACTGGACAGTCCTAAAGTGCCGCGCTGCGAATACATATTATATGTATGTGTGTGTATACATAACATTGTCGGGGACATTTGCTGCCGGCTGCTGTTCCAGTGAGTGTTGTGACTTTTGCTCGAGGCAGTTCATGCAGTCTGCTAGCTAGCATGTGTTTGTGTTCAGAGCAGAGGCCCTCGAGACAAACTGAAGGGGTTGAGCTGAGAGGTCGTTCCACCTAAAGGCTTGTTGTGTAATGTACGGTGGCATGAGGTTGTCTTAGCCAGTCAGAGTTTTGGTCAGTGTTGTTGTCGAACTTGTTTACCATAAGAGCAAATTAGTTAGAGTCGCCGTCGCCACGCACACTCACCTTTTCTTCAAGCGTTCATTCTGTCTTATCTCACTTGTCCTCCATCTTCCTCTCCTCTTCCAGGCATACTCCCAGGATGCTTACCTGACAGGCAACGAACCCTACACAGGGGGAGCCGAGTACCTCCCACCACCGCCTCCCCTCTGTTACCCACACACCAAGGCCACGACCCCTGCTGGCTCCATGTGCCAGAACCAGCTGGATAACTGGAGTCGTTGGCCAGGCTCTTCCAGCCCCTCTTCGCCCCTGGACAACCGCTCCGCTGTGGGCAGCCCCGCCAGCTGGCAGGAAGGACGGGCAGGAGAGCCAGGAGGTGTGGGTCACAGCAGCCCGGCCCACCGCACAGAGGAGATCCAGTACGGTATGACCAGCCAGCAGCCTCAGGGCCAGACCAGGGGGCGCTCCTACTCTTCCTCTTCCTCATCAGGAGGCCCTTTGTCCAGCCCGCTGCAAGTCCACTACCCAAACCACCACGCTGCCGGATCCTCTCAGGCTCAGCCACGCAAGTCCAGCTCAGCCTGGACCAGTCCTCCCCTGCCCCAGCTCAGCCATGGTCGCACCGAGCTCTGCCAGCAGGCCCTCTCCGCCTGGTACCACAACCAGGTACCTGAGCGCCCAGGACGCAGCATGCAGACCCGCCACCGCAGCTACTCTCAGGACCGGCTCGGTGACTCAAGGAGGCAGCAGCAGCGGTCAGGTGGATTCCCGCACAGCGCCTCCCAGGACACTCTGATGTTACTACAGCAGTCAGGACCAGGACCCCAGGGAGAGCCCTACTGGTCCTATGGCGACAGGGAGGGGGGCCCAGGTAGGGGCCCAACTGCCACCAACTACACCCGAACACGCTCTGAAAACCTGCTAGCCCAGTACGATCGCCATGGCCGCTCGTTAGAGATGCTGGACCGAGCAGCAGCTGGACTGGTCTCACCTCATTTTGAGAGGCCCTCGTGGCCCCAGCAGGCTCCTCAGCCGCCCCCCAGGACTGACGCCCATCCGAGGCACTTCGGTGCAGCACAAGCTCCTCCGATGTCCCGACACACACAGTCACATTCTAAACACCACCCCCAGAATCACACCCAGGCCCACTCCCAGCCTCAGTCCCACCAGGCGGCCCCCCAGAGCAGGCGGCTCCCCCCGGGGCAGAGCATGGACGACCAGCCGGTGGGCTACCGCAGCTACAGCCCCTCTTTTTACCGCAAGACGGGCCGGATCATGCAGCAAGCGCACTCTTTCAGGGACCCTTCGTACTCCGGCCCTCACATGAACTGGAACCCAACGCCTAAAACCAGCCCCCCAGAGGGCACAACGGCACCCCTCACTGCCTCTGCCGCGTCCCCCCTTGCCTCTGCCACCCCCGAATCCCAGGACAAAGCGTACAGGCCGACAAACCACGAGAGGGAACGAGGGTCAGTGGAGGGGCAGGCGGAGGGGCAGGCGGCGGCGGTGGCGGCACAAACCCAGGAAGTGGTGCTGAGGCAGAAACCTCCCACCGGGCGGAGGAACGCCCACGGCATGCGTCACCCTCACTACGCGCTGCCCATGGATGGGCTAGAACCCTCTTTGTTTTCTCCTGATCCCCAGGACGCGGCTCCTGCCCCCGGTTCCAAGGGAGATGGAGCCCCACGCAAACCAAACGGCAACCTCGCCCCGCTCCCCATAGAGGACGACTCCTTGGCCTCGATCCCCTTCATAGGTAAGCGAGGAATGCACAAGCTTCATCTCGCGTGGCTTCTCTTACACCTTAATCCGCTCTCAAAAACTCCAACTGACCTTGAGATTTCATCGCTTCCATTCTAAATCGTAATCCACACCGAGTGTTTATTGAATATTAGTGAAAGCTTTACTGAGATGAAATGCAGAAGCTTTAATCCAGACAGAATTATGAGTTTCGGGGAATGTGTGTGTTTCCTTAATTTCCTTCTTGTCTGTCTATTGAGGCTCCAGGCTCTTCTCAGATGCAGTTTCCATTCTCTCAGAGAGATTGTGTGTGTGTGTGTGTGTGTGTGTGTGTGTGTGTGTGTGTGTGTGTGTGTGTGTGTGTGTGTGAATGTTTGCATTGGGTAATACAGGCACTTCCCGCAGTCTTACAGACAGTATTAGTGGTTTGATTGAATCATATTTGATGGGAATTCCCTAATCCTGCTGCCTGCCCCTGGTCTCTAAGGTCGCCTCACCATGCTGAGGAAATGAGGTGGAGTCTTGACATCCAGAATGTGTGTGTGTGTGTGTGTGTGTGTGTGTGTGTGTGTGTGTGTGTGTTTTTGTTTGCGTGTCAGCAGGTACTGCTCGTGATCTTCTATAATGCCTGTCATCTTTTAGTCAGTTACCGTATTCGTTTTTTATAGTAAATGTTAGCATGCTAACACGCTAAACAAAGATAGAGCATGGTGAACATTATAAACATTAGCATGTTAGCATTGTCATTGGGAGCATAATGCCATGCTAGCATTAGCATATAGCTTAAAGCACCACCGTACAGCATCACAGAGCAGCAAGCATGGCTGTAGACTGTTAGTCTTGTGTCATCTTTTGACTATAATCGTTTTTATGTGCGTCTTCATTACAGTTCGGCTCCCTTTCAACATAGTGTAATGTTGCTTTTAAATGACATCTAAGGAAGGAACACTTTTAATCCTCTCCTCAAAGACTTAATCTGCTTTTTTATGGACCACGCAGAAATTTGGATTAATGAAAAGCAGTGAAACAAAATGTTATGTTTAGAGTACCCTGAATGATTTAGCCATAAACCGATAATGACAACCTGTAATAGCTTCAGTGCATGCAGGATACAGTATGTAGTTCTTTGCCTATATGAGGTTGTTTGCATGAATATGCACCGTACAGTTATAGCCTACATGTAGGTGTCAGTGATTGTGGTCCTGTCCCAGCTTGTTCCCCCACTCTGAAAAGACTCAAAGAGAAGGGGCTTCGCAGGCTTTCTGTTGCCTTGTCTCACTTGACGTGTACAGCAGCCTTTAAGTCAAACCATACGCAAATAACGTCAATCGATCGGGTGAGCTGTGCCTCCACCAGCCTGTCGCAGGCTGAGGAAAACAACCGCCGCTTACCCCGATGCCCAATAGATTCAAATCAGCTGCCCTGGACTCTTTGACCCAACATGGGAACGAGCGTTGATATTTGAGCCCAGCCACGCTCGGCCAGAAAAAAAGGTAATTTAAAGAGAGAAAATCCAGAAGGGTTCTGCAAAGCAGGAGGAATCTCTCTCTGCTTTCTCTCAGTCCGTCTGTCAGAGCACATTCTTGCCTCGTACCTTCACCTGAATTAGATGAAACCTGGCAGTCAGAGCTGCAGGCCGGGACACGTCTTATGGCCGTAAACTGAAACTAGGCTAGAGTCTCCCCATAGACAAGAACATAACTTTTCTCTTCTCTGTCTTTCTCCGTCTCTTTATCTCTCTGACAAAGATGCCGATATGATCTGGGGGCCTGTTTGGGAATATGTGATTTAATAGGCGTTCATTGTCGTTCATGTCTGGGTGGTACGGACCACAAAGGCAGGCTGTGTCTGCCGGCAAATGGGTTTTTACGACGTCTAGTATAGAGATATAGAAAAAGCAGTATTTTCTTTTATTTCTGTAGCTCATACAATGTGAATAAAACAAGAAGGTGCATGTTCGCAGATGAAGTATTTCACTCTGTACCCACTTGGAGTCTTTCGACATGAATCTAAGCTGTAAATTACCAAGAGGTTTCTGTGGCGGTCCTTGCTGGGAACAGCAGGGGCCCGTTCTCTCAGCTCCCGCCCTTAGTGCTGCTGTTGTGCTGCTCTGGATGATGTGTGTCTGTGAGGGGGTTCAGTCTATGACTGTCTTTACTAGCTGGACCCTGGACACTCCAGACCAGGACGAAGACCTTCTGTACTGGCTTCCACAAGTCCTCTTGTGGCCGCTGAAACGATTAACCAATTATCGACAACTACTTTGCTAATCGATTGCTCGTTAATGTCATTTTTGAAGCTAAAATGGTAAATATTAGCTGCTCAATGATGAGGATTTGCAGTTTTTTTTGTCTTACATAAACTGAATATCTGAGGGTTTTGGACTGTTGGTCGAAACAAACTTGCAGTTTGAAGTGGTCACGTTGGGCATTCTATTGACCAAACCGTCAATCAATAAATAAGGAAAATAAATAGCAGAAGAGAATCTTTACTTCAGTCTGAATAATACAGTTTGAACCATAATTTGCCAATAGCAGGCAAAGTTCTTTTACAGCTGTACAGCATTTAACATTTGAGAAGTTTATTCTGTCAAAAAAAGAAAAGGTTTTGCAGAAAACCATGTTCATATTTCTCAAAATAGGTAAAGGAAAAAGTTTAATTTAGATGCTGGTTCCCTAACTCCTGCTTTAGTAAGTAAAGACTCGCCATGTGCTTAGTAAGGAGTTTTGAAGGAATGTGAAAATGCAGGAGAATTTACTCAACCCTTAACGTTTGATGTAGTCCTTTTGTCAAATGTATCTGAATAAGTAAAAATCCCCAGACTGGGATATATATATATAGTGCGTATATACATTCACAGTAAGGACTGCAGCATGCTGCTCCCCTCTGCTGGTCCGTCTCTGTCGTGTGGCTCTGGGCTCACTCTCTGGCTGCCTGTTAATGACGGCCTTTGTTAAACCCACAAGCCCGGCTATTTCTGGGCAGCGCTGTAAACGGGCAGATTCCTCACCCCAGATTGGAAATGTTTTCCGCCTGATGTCGGACTCTAGTGTGCACAGGAGTGAAGAACAGAACGGCAAGGGTGGTCGGTGGAAGAAGGGAAGGAGAGACAGAGAGAAAAGAGAAGAAGCTGAGGGTTGAAGGATGATTACAGGAAGTTGCTGGGACAAAGAGGTAAAAAACTAAATGAAATCTGAACAGGAGTGAGATGAGAGCATATAGCAGGAATTTACAAAAAAAGGCTTTGTGGTGGTCTGTGCTGGATCTCAGAGTCCCTCCAGTCTGCAGAGGCTGTGCTGCCCTCTGCAGTTTACACTGAGAACACGCTGGAGCCGTGCAGCAACTCAATCCTGACAATATAGAAAGTCACCGGCAAATCCAGCTTCTCCTCACTCAATGCAAATAGTAGACCTGTCTATTATCTGTCAGTCAGGAAGTGTGTGTGTGTGTGTGTGTGTGTGTGTGTGTGTGTGTGTGTGTGTGTGTGTTGCGGTTTCATATCCCTTTGCATCAGCCTAAACTGTTAAACACTTGTAGCCTGTGTGACCTACATATTCTGCTTTCAGCCTTTTGTCATCTCAAACAGAAAATCATAAAACTAGCACTAAGTATCTACATACAGTTATCCACAATATTCATATTTTGTTAGATTGTGTCTTTTCTCCTGCATGTGTCCTCACGAGTATCACACAGCACTGTAGATTTAATAAAGAACTGAAACCTGGAGCCAGTAAATCTCTGTTACAAAACCGCCCCCGTTAGAGACCGACTAGCTCTTCCAATGGCAGCAGGCGACTCAGGTACTGCTTCTCTGCAAACCGTTTGCTTATTTTGGTTGCATTCGTGTTATTTTGTTCCGGACACAGTTGCAGAGGTTTTCAATCCTCCAGTTTCTTCAGTGCATTTGTAAATGAGCGTAGAATCTTGTGTTTGTGGTTTGTCCTTTTCTGTACTGGAACCCAGAAATGGGTCGTGTTCGAGTACGATTGTCGTATGTGTTGATTTTGCAGATGAAAGACTTCTAGATGAGGCGACAGAAATTGAAAATGTGAATTGAATTTTCTTGTTTAGTATCTGTGACGGTAACCCTGCGGTTCCTCGTCGTTCCTCTCCCTTACACACCTCGTGATCTAACCCCCTTTTAATATCCTTCTTCCATTCTGGCCTTTTTCTCTAACACCTAACCTATCCCCCCCTCCCTCTCCTCCTCCTGCCTCCCCTCCACCCTCCCACAGATGAGCCGACCAGCCCAGGTGCTGATTTGCGCGCCCGCCATGTGCCGGCGTCCTCCGTGGTATCCAGCGGCATGAACTCGGCGCCCGCCGTGGTCACCGGCCCCGCCTCCCCCACCTTCACCTTCCCCCTCACTAGGCTCTTCTCACAGGACTGCAGTGAGTGCCCCCCCCCCTCCCCCCATCCCTCCCTCCCTTCCTCCCCACTGCATGCAGCTGAAAAGTATCTTATTTGTGAGTTCTTTTCAGAGAAGGATTGATCATGCATGGTATTTTAAAACCCTCCTGGTTAGTTGGTTGGTTGGTTAGTTATACATTTCAAGAGGGTCTCGGGGATTTTTTGTTTTCCTCACTGCTTAGTTTCCTATTTTATCAATTGTGTTTTCCTGTGATAAGTCTTAAAAGTATTTTTTCCACTCAAATTCAGTCAAATCCAATTTCAACCAGTTTCTAATTCAAATCAAATTGTTTAAATAATTCTCCAGAATTAAGTGTAATTTTTCATGATTCTAGTAAAGCGGTTTTCCCAATAATGCTGTCTTAATTCTGAACATAATAAGAAGCGTCCTTCAAAACAAGACTTTTGAGGCTAAATAACAGGAAAAGATGAACATGTTTGAATGCTGAATTTATAGATTTGCATGTTTGATACAAAGAAATTCATACAAACTTGTTTGCTCAGATTGTGTTTGGTTTGTTTGTCTTGTTGTGCACGAAGCCCAAAAGAGTCGGTGTGTTTCAGATTCATTTAAATCCCGGATTAGTCAAATTGGATAAACTCGCACGATATGTTTCTTTAAACAAATGCACGTCAGTCTGTGTTTGCAGGCGCCACACCTGCATGCCAGTGGTGAGAAAAGTGACCAGAGTTGATTTAATTTAACCCAGTGTTCCAGCTCATCTCCCCATCGTTCATCCTAACTACGCCACCCAAACCTCAAACCTCCTTCACCACCACCACCACCTCCTGCTTCCTCCCTCACTATCCCCTCTCCTAATCCAACACCGCCTACGCTGGTGATTGGCATTACATCAACATTCTGTCTTTCTCTCTGTCTCTTTGTTTCTCCTTCTCTCTCTCTCTCTGCTCATTCATCCTCTCACCGAGCAGGCAGTATTAAATCCGGTCGCCGTTCCTCCTATCTTCTAGCCGTCACCACCGAGCGCTCCAAGTCATGCGACGAAGGACTCAACACGTTCAGAGAGGAAGGCCGAGTCTTCTCGTGAGTACCGTCAGTCTGAGACGGATGAGATTCAAACAGCACCCATTTGAATTACACGTGTAGGCAGACATCTCATGTTGTGTTGTTGTACTTGACAGGAGGCTACCAAAGAGAGTGAAGAGTTTCTTCACAGACGGGGTGAGTTCTTCGCCTTTCATTCCTCTAAACATCACCTAAACCTTGTTTTTTACAAATCCTGTCCTTGTTTCTCACTGCTTTACTTGTGCAGGTGACTACTTTTACATTCACGTGTCCTTTTGTCAGATTATCAAACCAAGAACACAAACTATAAACAAATATCGATGCCCTGCAGCTTAACCGACACATTTAACAAACTAACAACTGCTTACAGACAGTCAACTGGTCTTTGCTTAACAAATTAAAGCATACAAATGTAATTCTAAGACTTCCCTTATGTAATCTGTGGCTATGTTAAATCATAATTGTGAAAGCACCTAAAAAAACACGAGATCCATGTAAATGCTTCCTGAGGTTTTGAGTGACGTTTCAGTGAGCTGTGCAGCTTTCGACCACAGTACAACATGATGGCAAACGGCATTTCCCTTCATTTCCTTTTCATCTTGATTATTGAAAGTCACAACTACTTTTACTTTATTCACGAAACCGTTGAAAGGTTTACTTGTGACATGCTCAGGTCATCAGAAAGTGTAATAGATATTTAAATTTTGCAATCAAGTTTTGAAACTTGAATCAAAACAAGTTACTACTCGAGTTAGTCGTATTTGATCAGTGTCAGCTTAAATAATGCTGAATCAGTTTTTAGGTGAGATTTAAAAGCAGCGTTTGGCAACTTACAGTACAGCGGCACAAAGAGGCCAAATAGTTGCTGCCTCAGCTACTGATGCATCACTTGTAACGTGGTGTAATGTAATGCAAGAGGAGAAATTTAAAATTCAAAATATGCCAAACACAGAGGAACACGGGTTATAACTACACCCTGAGCAGCGCTGACTACATGAACATTAAGTTGAATGAACACCTCAGCAAAAACATTATCAGCAGCAAGTAAAGATCCTTCATGTTATTATTTTTGGCATAAGAGAAAGAGGTTTTTAATTAGTTTTCATTGTCAGAAATGGGTGGCGTTCTGTTATCACACCCTTTGATTACCATACTGAAACAAGGGAAAAAAGTTCAGATTTAACGGCTTTTTTCAGGTCTCAAGGCAACAAAGAACATCAACAAATGTTCTGAACATTTCCTTCGGTTGTGTTTCAGTCTCTGGACAACCTCGGCACAGCAGAGGAGGTGCGATCTAAACGCCACTCCACCTCAGAGCTGGGAAACATTACGTACAGCGACGTGCGGCAAGAAGGATGGCTGCACTTCAAACAAATCCTCACGGAGAAGGGCAAGGTGGGCGTGACAAGAAAAGAGCTCGAGACAGAAAAAGCGTTCAAAGCGAGCGAGCAAACACTCACATCTCATCTTTCTCTCACAGAAGGTGGGCAGCGGCATGCGTCCGTGGAAGCGAGTCTTTTCTGTGCTCCGCTCCCATTCTCTGTTCCTCTACAAGGACAAGAGGGAGGCGGTGCTCCGCGGGGCCACGATCGGAGGTGCGGCCGAGGACGAGCAGCCCATCAGCATCCGGGGCTGCCTGGTGGACATAGCGTACAGTGAGACCAAACGGAAGCACGCCCTGCGGCTGACCACCCAGGACTTCTGCGAGTACCTGCTTCAGGCCGAGGATCGGGAGGACATGCTGGAATGGATAAAGGTCATCAGGGAGAACAGCAAGACGGACAGCGAGGTCAGAGGACACGCCTCCACCTGTAGACTTGAAGCTCCTCTGTGAGTGTGCCTCGAGTGTGTGGTTATAACGCAGATGTGTTTGTTTGTTGCAGGAGCTCGGTATATCCAGACAGGCCCTCATCAATAAGAAACTGAATGATTACAGGAAGCAGAGGTGGGCCACCTGACAACAGAGCATGAATCTTTCTTTACCACAGCACACATCCGCTGTCATGATGGACAGCTTGAATTAAACCTGTCTCTCTGTCTCCCCCTGCAGTCCGACAGGCAGCAAGCCCGACTCCTCTCCCAGGATGTCCCGCATGAAGCCTCCCTTCCTGCTCACCAAGACGGAAAACGCTGCGGGGGCGCCACGCTCCCCCAAACCAGAGGGCAAAGGTCAGCGTCGGGGACAGACTAATCAAACACACCTGCTACTTACTGTGCTAAAATAAAACTGTATTATTGTTTTTGATTAAATGTCAGAAGTTATGAGATCTATTACCACCTGTAAGATGATATTGAGGTAAAAATGGTGGCTCAGTTCTGGGTAATTATGTTTTATATTTATTAGGGGTAATACGCTTTATAGTCTTAACTATGAAACTCTAACATAACAGTTCTAGGTTGTTACTCCACTAATAAGTAACATACATTGCAGCTTAATACTAACTCTAAGGCTTGTGGACACAATGACTGAATATCGGACTTGGTGCCAGTTTAAATGTTATACATTTTTATCATTGCAATCATCCTTTTTGAAGTATTGGTGACGCTTTGACCAGTCTTATAGAAATCAGATATTTGACATTAGAATCTGCATGTTAGATAACCCATGGGTATTCATGGTCAAATATCAGTTCATGTCAAAACACAATCGCAGGTGTTGTTTAATCAATCCTTTGATTAATATATCTGCAGATGTAAGAATCTTTAACAGCCCTTTATGGATGAGAGCCTTTAAATGTAAGGACGGGATAAACCAAGAAGCAAACACTGAAGCTCCGTGACAAGCAGTGAGGTTTTTTTTTTGTCCGAACTGTCCTCAGATGAGAGCGCTCCTCCAAAGTCTCCGTGGGGAATCAACATCATGAAGAAGTCAAAGAAGTCGGGGCCTAAAGCTTTTGGTGTGAGGTTGGAGGATTGTCAGCCGGGTGTGATTAACAAGGTTAGCCTCAATATCGTCTGTCATACCAGACTGCAGTAAAAGTACTACTACTAGTATCACTGAAGGTTTTATTTGTGATTAAACTCCGTCTGTGTCCATCTCAGTTCATCCCGTTGATCGTGGAGATCTGCTGCGGTCTGGTGGAGGAGATGGGTCTGGAGTACACGGGGATCTACCGAGTCCCCGGGAACAACGCCATGGTGTCCGCGCTTCAGGACCAGCTCAACAAGGGATGCGACATCAACCCTACAGAGGAGGTGAGGACACACGAACACACCTGTACATTTGATAAACCACAAACCGTTTTCATTCAACTTTACTCGACACAACCGTATCACCAGATGCAGAAGGTAAAATACGATGAGCTCTGACTCGTCTCTGTTTCTGTCAACAGAAGTGGCAAGACCTCAATGTTGTCAGCAGCTTGCTCAAATCCTTCTTCAGGAAACTTCCAGAGCCGCTCTTCACCAACGGTTCGTTCAAACGTGTCACAGCAAGCCGACCGCGCACAACTCACGCTGCCGTGCATTCATATCAAACCCGCTGCATTTTGATATCTTTACAGACAAGTACAACGACTTCATCGACACCAACCGGATGGACAGTGCATCAGACAGACTAAAGACCATGAAGAAACTGGTACGTATTTGTTTGTATTACTTTGCTAGTGTGTGTGTGTGTGTGTGCGTGCGTGTGAGGGAAGAAGTTTGGCAGGTCCAACAGGTTTATCAATATTGTCGTTCCTCTTGTTTTCTTTCGCAGATCCGAGACCTCCCAGATTATTATTACCACACTCTGAAGTTCCTGGTTGTTCACCTGAAGACTGTAGCCGACAGCTCGGATAAAAACAAGGTGCGTCAAAGACGGTTTGTAAATATAATCATTATGCACCGCTGTGACATCTTCGGTATTAATGTATTGTTGTCGTTGTGTAGATGGAGCCCCGTAACCTGGCTCTGGTGTTCGGGCCGACGCTGGTTCGGACATCTGAAGACAACATGAAAGACATGGTCACACACATGCCCGACCGCTACAAGATAGTAGAGACGCTCATCCAACATGTGAGAGAGGCAACACACACACACACACACACACACACACACACACACACACATTAAAATGACCCATGATCACTTTCAAGATAAATATTTCTCTCTCCGTGTCCTTCTTGTAGTGCAACTGGTTTTTCGCTGAAGAGCAAGACAAGGATGAAAAGGTATGCTTCCCGTATTGTTTCTTCAGACTTGCACATTGAAAGCGTTAATGCACTGCGGGGGACGGTTATTTAAAGATTCAGTTGAGGGTGTGCAGTTGCCCTGAAAACTTGCAAGTAACGTGCAGTATGTGACTTCATCATCTGAGAATCTTTTCAAGTTGGTGTGAAATAACTCAGAATCTGGGGGATCGCTTCATCTTTTTAAAAAAAGTATTATTTGATGCATTCTTGTGCAGCAAATGATGTTGTTTTAAGTTGATGACAGTAAGTCTTAGAAAGTCCCTGAAAAAAGAGAAAAATAAGTCAAATGTTCATAGAGCATTTCTGCTATTTCATGAAGCCAATGAGTCATGGCATTTACAACTTTAGATTTGACCTTTTAGTGTTGTCTTTGTGGTCGGGAGCACACAGATAAAGTAAAACAATTCCAGACTTATTTTTAAAAGCGTTATCTGTGTCTCTCTTCCGTCCAGACACCGGTGGACACGGAGGACGTGCAGCCCGCCCCCAACATCGACCACCTGCTGTCCAACATTGGCAGGACCGCTCTGCTCGGGGAGGCCTCAGGTGAGCGCGCTGCTGAGTGCTCTGAGCCAATCGCCCGCTAGAGCTCTGACCAAGTCGACCAATAGCATTCGGGTAGATGTAATCGCAACCCCAAATTAATGCTGCTTTCCATTTCAAGCTGGAAGAAGGGAATTCCCCACTAGTGTATTATAATTACAATGTGTGGGCTCTAGTGAAACAGCTGGCAGACGTTATGATGTTAATTAGCAGAACTGAGTCTTAATTCTCAAGAAAAAGACTTCAACAAGTTGGTAAATTAATCCTGTTCCAATAAATCCATAAAAGTAAACGACTTAAGACGGTGCTCTTTAAAAGCATGTTAAAAATAATGATCCCAAGTGAAGACATGACCTCAGTTTCCTCGCCTGATTGAGATTCCTCTTCGGAAGTTTGTCCCAATTTTAAAGCCAGAGTTCCCTCTTTTCCAACAGAACTAGAACGCGGCATAAGAAATGAAAGTCTGACATCTGTTAGTACTCGGGAGTGTTTCTGTGTTTGATAGCGTGCCTACACTTCTCTCCTTTCTGCTGACCTCTTCCCCCCCCCCCCCCATCTTGTCAATCTTTCACTTTCTCTGTACGTTTCTGCATTTCCTTCTCTTAGCTGAGCCTGTGGAGCAGCCACTGCGGTAGGATGGGAACTCCCCTGGCAATACGTGTGTGTGTGTGTGTGTGTGTGTGTGGGCGTGGGCGTGCAACCGAGTCTGTGAATCACATTGTGAAAGTGAAATAATGTGTGTTTGTGTGGGTGAGAGAGAGGGTGTTAGTGTTTGGTGATGGTTTGTTTCTCCATGGTCTCCATTACCCTCTTTAGACTCAGTGTCTCCCTCTCAGTGTCAGACGGAGGTCCCTGTAAGAACATGTCACTTCAGTGTCGGACTAATGAATTAACGGCCTGTTAAAGCTGCTGCATCTGACACTGGAGTGTAAACTGCGGTCTGTCGCTGAGAGACGACTCCCACACTAGTGGTCTTGTTGTCGAGCACTTTGCTCCACTCATCCTTCGGGCATCTTTAGTCAGCGTAGTCCAATCATCAGGCTCCTCATGCCCCGCTTACCTCCCGAAGGGACTCAAGGTGGCGTCGTTTCTGACCTGCCGCTTTAAAGGCCACAATGACATCAGAGATGTAATCTGATTTGTTTGTGTGAGGTTCAGTAGTGGTGCACACTTTCACCCTTCATCCACGGTTTTTGTTTCCCAAAATGTTTAATTGAGGTCCAAGCCAACATCTGCATGCAAAGAAGAAGGCAAGTCCTTTTTATAGAGGCCAGAATCCACATTTATCTATTTGGATTAGCAAATATTCTAGAAGTGACCTTTCAAAGTAAAGTCCCTCAGATATTTAGCAAAACAAGAGAAGATCAGCTATGACATTTTAACATTTACTGATCTGATTTTCACCACTGCTAAATGTTTGTCATTAATACGATAGCTGCTACCAGAAATGATGACCTAGTCTCATGATAGGTCCCAGAGTTCAGTAACCGTACAGCTGAAGGCCTGATCTCCAAGCAGTGATACAAAAACAGAGACATTTAGGGAGCAGAGCTAAAATCAGACAATGTTTTGTATTTATTCTTGTTAAATGACTTAGACAATGAGTCAGTTATCAAAGTTGCTGTTTTTTTGCTGACTAATTCCCTAATTACTGAGCTCAGTGGGCTGCTGTAAAGCAGAAAGTCTCACTCAAGGACACTTTGACATGAGGACGGTAGGAGCCAGGGATCAAACCGCCGGCCTTGTCGTAAAAGGACGAACCGTTCTACCCGCTGAGCGAACAGCCGCCCCTCTTCTGTGAACGCCTGCTTCTCCTCCATGAGTAGTGAACTACCCGAGCTAAGCTGCGTTTTGTTAAAACCAAAGAGCTTTAATGGCGATGCATGATATGAAGAGCACAGATTTAAGGGTGACAGTTTGTCCACCATCTGGAATGCGACACACAAGATAAACTGGATTGATATCGTTGTTGTTGGTTCATGAGAAACGGTTCCATCTAGAGCGCTTCAAAGCCCCGGGTTCCTCCAAAGATTTTGATTCCGTCTACGTGAAAGACAAAAACAGCTTTCATCCTGCATCGCTGTGTTTGTGCTGTGAGGGAATTGTGCTTCTTTGTACTCTGGACTCAAAAATTATTTCTGCCTTCACGCCTCCCAACGCTTCTTTCCCTGATTGATGTCATCAGTTTTTTTTCTGTGATGTCATCGGTGTGTGCCGTGGTTTCCTAATGCCTCCAACACCAAACCCTGCTTACCCAATCATTGTGTGTCGTCCACACGCGCAAATCAGTGTCTTTGTACTGGGGGGGGTCTGTCACGGTCAGAGGGCACAGAGGAAGGCGAGTCCCTTAAACTTTAGTCGAGGAATTAGTAGATTCGATTAGAGGAATCTTGTAATTTAAAAAAAAATTGGCAAATCAGGAAGACGACGTAAAACTGCTGAAACTTTCAAGTATGTTGTGCTCAAGCCACAACCCCATCTGTGACGTCACAGCGGGTGTTTTCCCCTTGACAGCTGATGGGAAACGCCGGCTTGTGACTTCCGGGTTTGAAGTGCAGACAGAAGTGCAACATGCAGAAGCAGTTTTCTATGATTTTAAAAAAAAGTGATGATCTCACCAACTGCCTCTGTGTCCTCCACCGCGACTGTTCTGGCCTTTTGTTAACTTCAAAGGTTCTGACCCACTGATGTTTGTATTCTCTTCTCCCCAGACTCAACCAACAGTGAGTCAGCTAAATCAAAGGTAACATCTCTTAACATGGCACAAGGTTACTCTGGATGTTCCTATACCGACATACACACGCAGTAGTTAAGACATATAAAGTGTGATGTAATAAGAGTGTCACAGCTATTTGTTTTTCTTTTTCAGGGCTCTTGGGGGTCAAAGAAAGACCTTACACCCAAAGACTTCCTGACTCTGTCCATCATGTCGGCTGTTACGGGCCGCAAACGCAGGAAGCGCCACAATGGCCGCCGCGTGGGCAGCAGCACCGATGACGACTCCGAGCACGAGCCAATCAAAGCCGGACATTTAGGGGCAGAGGAGGAAGAGGAGGCAGAGTCGCCTGTGGGAGACACTGCTCCTCGAGCAGTGGGAGAGGAGGACGAGGATGAAGAAGAAGAGGAAGATGAGGAAGTTGTTGAAAGCGGAGTGAAAGAAGAGGTAGAAGAGGAGGAGGTGGCGGCGGTTATTCCAAGTCGGCCGTGCTGTAAAGAGGAAGAGGAGGAGGCAGGAGGAAGGCAGGCAGCCGTGTTGTTGCACGAGGAGGAGGCGCGGGCGGAGGTGAAGGGCCCGCCGTGGAGAGCTCCAGAGGACGCTCGCTCTATTGTTTCTGGTTACTCCACCCTCTCCACGTTAGGCCGTAGCCTGGGGTCGGAGGGCAGGGGGGACGATGCCGATGACGAGCAGAGCGAGCTGGTGAGCGAGACGGACAACGAGAGCGGCTTCGCCTCGCGCTCCCTCACCCAGGAGAGACCCGACAAACACCCGACGACACCCGTGAACACACAGCCGCCAGCGATGCCGCGCAGCTTCCTCTACACGCACTACAAACCCCCCGTTCTCTCGCCCACAAACCTGCTCGCCCCGCCCACCGCGCTCACACCGGACTCCGCGGACAGGAGCGAAGGGGGGGCGCGGTCCACCACGCCCTCGTCGTCCTCCTACTCCTCCTCCTCCACCACTCACAGGCTGCACTCGCGGCCTTCCTTCAACTCCCACAAGCTGATCCAGTGCGACACTCTGGCCAGGAAGAAGCTGAAGTCGGAGAAGGGCAAGACTCGCTCTCTGGACCTGCTGGAGCTGTCTGGGGTCATGGCTGGCGGCGACGGGGCCGGTTCCGGGTCACCCAGAGTGAGGAGGGAGACCTCTAAGACCAACCCCTCCTCAGGCAGCAGCCAGGAGAGCCTGCGCCTGGCCCGGCCCAAGCCCTCGCTGCCGCCCAGCGAGGCCGCCTCCTTCACCCCGACCGGCCCCGGCAGCAGGTCCCTAGCGGATCAGGTCCGGGCCCGTCTGCTGGGCTCGGCCGACGACCTGCGCAGGGTGGGACTGCGAAAACCGCTGTCACCAGAGACGCGGAGGAAGAGACGCGCCTGGCGCAGACACACCGTGGTGGCCTCCCCAACTGAGATCTCTGACAAGAGACCCCCACTGACCGTCAGCGACTTCCCCCTGTCTCCCATCACTCAAAACCAGGTTAAAACACCAGGGCTGCCTCGGGATGCAGACGGGCTCGACCAAGGACCGGCTACACGTCACGCACCCACCTCTAGATTCCACCAGTATCTGTGAGCCCTGCCAGCTGACCCCACACGTCTGTACGGGGGTCCAGGCTGAGCCGCTGACTCCCTGCAGGTTAGTAGACCGGCAGCAGCTTGAACAGGGTCTGGGTCAGTTGCCGGGTGCAGCACAGTGTACCACTGACCAGGTCTTTAAGAGCAGCCCACCCTTTTCTTTTTGATCAGCTCCATTTGCATGGCAAGGGGCTTTCCAGTGTTGCCAAAGCTTTTTTTTTTTTTTTTTCTTCTTCTTTTTTATTCCAAAATGTGTGCTTTTATAGAAATAATACAGAAACAGGACAGAGACACAAATGGACCTCATCACAATCACAGCCAAGAATTCTCATCTGAGTGATAACCGAGCGTCCTTCCCGTCTCCTCTGCCTTCCAGCTCACAGACATTTAGACTTAAAGGGTCGAATCCCTTCAAGTGACCAGAGCTGGATGGTTCTTGAGAGAATGGTGCTTCTTATCACCGTGGGGTGTAACGGTAACTTTTGCTTCAGTGAGCCAGGAGAGACAGTCGACCCCCCCCCCACACACACACACACACACACACACACACACACGCACACACACACACACACACACTCTTCTAATAACAAAACGTTATCGGTCAGTTTAAAACTATTTCAAGAGATCTCAACTTCAGTCTTTCTAACGTGTTCCTCCTCAGACCACAGACACTGTAATCACTCATTTATACTCCAAACAGTAGACACGGTGGGTCACAAACACACAGCATACAGTCGTCTCTCTCTACGTGTTAAGAATGTTTACGTGTGTTTGCGCAACAATAATTGTGATCATGTCCGAGCGTGCAGGTGTTTGTGTTGAACAATTTTGTAACATTTGTACAAAGCCTTGTTAAGTTAACCTTGTAAATATAAATATTACGTTTATCATATTTGTTTTTACTTTTTTAGTTCCTTTTTTTTATGGTTTACAAAAGTGCGTACAAAGTGCACAAGTCATTTTCTTTCAAGATGTTACTTGAAATGTTTCCCTTAATATATATATTTTTTTTGTTTTATATTCAATATATATATTATATATATTTTGTATTAAAGTAAAACACTTTTATTGTTACTCGATGTGGGTGTACCTGTCCACAGGAGATGAACGTGACTCCTGGTTTCCTCATAGATGGCCTTCCTCTCTAATTCTCAGCGCTGTGCAGAAAACCTTTATCTCATGAGATATGATCTTATAAATAAGTATCTCTGGAGATTGTATTTCCAACAATGTTGCATCAACATGTACACAAGCAAATACATGTAGCAAGAGAAGAAAATCTGGTGATTATTACATTATATTGGGCAGTTTGCAGGCAGCTCGGCACCACGCTGTGATGGCTGAACTCCTCTGTTTTGTTATTCATGTCTAGTGTTGATTACCGAGCAATGCCTCCACAGATCTGCTCGTATTTACTGAGCTCAAGTCGAAGTGTGTTCCTTCTTGTGAAAGAGAAGCCTGACGGCGTTCAACAGACTGTTACGAAACATTGTGTAGCGCATACAAACGGATACATTTTCACCTCGGTCGGTGGTGATCTTTGTGTTTTCAGCACATCTCCTTCGAGGGGTGCATCCGTCTGTACGTTTATTACCTCGTGGGGGTTTACATGAGGAGTTTTCCATAAGGTCAATAAATCCTACCTGACGGGGGAAATGTTGCACCAGAGGAAACAAATACAGAATGAATCTATTGTTTTTCATCTCTCGTCTTGATTTGCCGTCACACAATAACACAAACAGGAGGTGTGTAACTTCCTCAGTCATGAGTCACTCATCTGACCAAATAACCCCGTAAGAAATAATAATAATAAATAAGTTATGGTCTTGTTTTACCTCAAGATTTTTTTTTTCTCTACAAGTGCCTGATTTCTGGAATGTGTTTTTGTTCTGCGGTGCCATGGTCGGTTCTTATCTTTCCGTTTCCTTTTGTTTTTGGGTCTCCGCCCTTCTCTCCTGTGGTTGATGGTATAACTAAGGCACTGACCCAAAGATGTGTACATTTAATACAAGCAGTCTAACTAAAAAATAAAAATTTTTAAAAAGCACACTTTAAGCCAAGGACATGTCTATGCACTCTCTTTGCCTTTAACACAGGCATTAACAGCGTATGCTGCTGAGAGGCATATAGCACTCTCTCTGCCTAGTGATCCAGTGTGTGTGAATATGGTACACCTAACGAGCCCGACTCCAAACCGGCATGAGGTCAGACAACATCAGTGTTTCTCACAGATGAACTAACCGCCTATAACTTCATCACAAAACTCAACAAGTTGCCGTGCTGTCTGAAATCGGATTCTTACCTTATGTTTCATTGTTGTATTTTAAAGTGTTTTTGTACATACTTTAATATGTAACATATTGTATTGTGTACATTTGGAATTGCTTTTTTTTTTTTTTGGAGTATAACTAATATGAAAATGACTGGACTTAAAGGTCGTCCACCTGAAACCATTTCCCTCATGGATGTGTGCTTTATAGCAAGGTTATATGATGTAAATAAACAGAACTATGTTTAAAACGGACTTCTCACGTGTGTTTGTTTTTAAGAGGGGGGAGGGTAAGGCTTAAAATAGGAGCTGTGTGGCGCCCTTTAGTGGCTGCAGATGAACACGAGCTCCCCACGGGAACGTGCACAGATCGCCTCTCTGCTCGTGAAGGAAACTTCATCTTAACTACACACAAAATACACCCCAACTACTGACTGTTTTAACGCACATGAGTAGTTTAATATTCGTGTAATCTATTAAAATGTATGTAATTCTGGGAATGTACTGAAGCGTGTGATCACTCCAGAAATAGAGCCTTAATAAAACATTTGTTTATCTGCAAAACATCCCCACTAGATTAAACTCGGGAGTGGGTTAACCTTCATAAAGAGCATCTCTCCATCACATCCCATCCCCCCCCTCCAGTCCGTGGATTCTTCCTCTCCGGCGCCCGTTTCAGGATCTCCACAAGAAAAGCTTTGCGACCGTTTGTATTGCTGACATAAAGACACGCACGGGTTCACACTTCCTGTGTTTTAGAGCTGGCTTTTACAACACATCACAACAGAATTTCAAAATTTTATTTGAACTTATGTTAACACACAACTTAAAATATTCACTCTGGAATTTACTTCTGCAAAACAGTCTTTTAAAAGCTGACCCAATTAGCTGTAATTCGTTATTCTTTTATTAGAGGAAATTGCAACATACGATGTTTTTATTTTAAATTCAAAAACGGAACTGCATTATTAGTTGACCCGGGAAACAAATAAAATATTCTCGTGTTGTCAAATACATTCTCTTTATAAAAAGAATCTTATTTTGGAAATATTTACATTTCTTCTTGGAAAAACAAAAAATTGAACAGGACACCTTTACAGTCCAAATAGAAAAGAAACAGCAATTATTGCATTGCAATGCAAGGACTCTTCGTCCAAATGACAAACTGATTACATAAAACTGATTTATTTATTTTTTAAATGCAGCAGTCCCATATTTTACCTTTTTGAAAAGGGGTTCCCCCCGTGAATTGTGTCCTTTTAATTGGTTGCGACGTGGCCCCTGTCACTGCTCGGCTGGTTCTGCAGGAGCAGCTCCGTGTTCTGGGCCCTCAGTCTCTCCAGCTCCCTCTCCAGCTCTCCGAGCCGGACCAGGGAGCTCTCCACGGTCAGACCCCCGGGCTCCACGGTGCGCCTCAGCCGGTTGTTCTCCTCCTCCAGCCGGGACATGCACTTCTCCAGCTCCAGGTACTCCTGCACCAGCTCCTGCTTGGTCATATTCTGCAGGCTCTCGACGTGGTACATCTCGTAGGTCTCGGAGAAGTCTCTCTGGAGAAACTCCCCGCCTGCGTTCCCGGGTCTCCCGATGCCGTCGCTGCCTCCGCCTCCGCCGCTGCCGTCGTCATCGTCCTCCTCCTCGTTGTTGTTGTCGAACAAGTCCTCCTCGCTGCCGGTGTCCTCCGTGCGGCTGCCGACCCCGACCCCCGAGGGCCGCCTGACCCCGGTCTCAGTGTTGAGGTCGGGCTCCTCTCGGTCGTGCTCATCCATCAGGAACTGGGTGGTGTTGTAGGGGGCCACTGGGAGCCCTTTGGCGAACATCTCCTCTCTCAACCGGGAAGCCCTGGCCGTCTCCTTCTCCTCCAGGGCTTTCCTCTCATCCCAGTTAAGTTTGTAATAAGGCTTCCAGTTGCGCTTCTTCTTGGAGGTCCTGCGCCGGTGCCTCTTCTTGCCCAGACGCGCATCCAAGCCAGTATCGGAGTCGATGTGGCTGTCCTCTTGCGCCTGGTTTAAAGTCTCCTCCAGCGGTCTGCCTTCGCCGTTTTTGTCCTGTGGGGTGTGATCACCGTCAACCACTGCGTGGACGCCGGGTTTCTGGTCGGACGGAGCTGCGATCGGGCACTTTGGAAGCACGTTTCCGGCTGCGAAGGAAGGGCACACCCCCCTCTGTCCGCCTTTCCTCTGCCACAACTTGTCTGTGTTGATGTCTCCACAGTGCTGCTGCTGCTGCTGCTTCTGGTATCTCTGTCGCCCCCTGCTGCCGTTCTCCGGTCTAGCACGGTTCCTGTCTGGGAGATGCTCCAACGCGTCTCCGCTGCTTCCACCTGATGGGCTGCCTGAAGTTTTCAGGTGATGGCTCCGCTCCGCTGACTCCGTCATCCTGATGTTCCGCTCCGATGGCTCCGCTTTTAACACATTTTACACAATGTGGTTGCTCTCAAAACTGAGCTTCAAAAGTTCGTTAAAATACGGTAAACTCAATTTAAACTAAATATACGTATTCCAGAAATCACTAAAGAAAGTTAAGAGTCTGACAACAAACTCTCGCAAATGAAAAGTAACACTTCCGAACAGTAAACACTTGTTACTGCTCAAAGGGTTTGTCAGAGCAACTGTCGCTAACTACCATTTAACTGTTTCGCTGCTGTCAGAACTCTCGTTCACCCGGAGCCGACGTTTCGCCGTCACAACAGTGTCCAGTGTGATACTCAAGAAGAGGGAGCTCGTGGTTATATAGCTGCTCCGCCTCTACCCGTGCGGATGCAGCTGTTTGTAACCCCGTTGAATTGTGGGACATGTGGTTTTAATTTCGATGAAGCACTGTCGGAGGTCTCCATATCGAACTACATAGTCCACAAGTCCACCATAACTGACGAGCATTTTAACCAATCAAATGGCAGATACTTGATCACGATAAGGTCCACCCCTCTCTTAGTTGATTGGACAAGAGGATAACTTTGCTGTTGCTAAGCTTAAAGTATTTTCTGATTGGACAGTCCAATAGTCAATCAAAAGTACGTAATCCACACCAAGAAAGCAGTCCGGGGCATTATATGGACGCTACCATCTACAAATAAAGGGGACACGGAGAAAAGTTACGAAATACAAGTTAATTTAAATACTGTCGAATGGCGTCACATGATCACTGGAACAAATAAACATATTATATAAGTAGGATTAGTAGGGCTTACTTTCATTTGCAGACCGCACAGTCTAACGCCGAATAAGTAATACAATGAAAACCCTCCTGTATTTGAAGCGAAATGCAGAAACCCTCTTAAGGAAACTAGTCCGTGTTGAATGTTCACACTGGAAAATAAGTGAAAACAGCTTACTTTCAAAATGCAATTATTTTTCATGTTTAGTGGCATAAAAATGCGTCGTTTGTGTGACAGTTGGCTCATTAAACGTTTTAGTTTGAATATTGTGTGTGTCGTGCGGAGTGATACATGGTCGGACAGGGGCTCGGGTGAACTCTGGAATCAGCGTAAACAAACGACATTTATTGTCAAGCTGCCGCTCCGAGCACAGCTCCAAGCCCCTCGTTATTAAAGGGTGGGTCAGGCGGTCTCACACTTAATAATCCTGTTACCAGTGGACGGAGTGGTGTAGATCAGTTTTGAGTATTTCTGCGCAATCCACGTTTAAAATGCAGTGTTAGGTTTACACTGTTGTGTCGTGTGAACAGCTAAGGATAAGCTAGCTAGCTAACGTTAGCTACGTGTTAACATTAGTTAGCACATGATAACTACGTTTGTGTCGCTCCCAAATTAAACACTGCATTAATTCATAAAGTGTGTAGCCATACGCACTAACGTTGCAACCAAAATAAACGTATAGACGATGTTGCAAAGCAAGTAGTTTCGAGCTAGGACTAGTAAAGTTGACTCAAACGCCATACTGTTCATAAAGCCACGGTATCTAATGCTAAAGTTAACGTTAGTTAACCACGAACGGTCGACCAGTTTCAATCAAAATATTTATTTGTAATTAATTTTGTCGACAGCTACAGCGAACACGCGACGAAGTAAATTAATAACAAGACAACTAGCTACAGCAATTGCTAACGTTAGCCATTTGCTAACTAGGCCGATGTGTTTATACTGGGTCAGCGTAATTGCTGGAACGTGATGTTACCCGTAAGGTGTACAACATAATTACGAGTGATTATGATATTATCTTGGATGAATATAGACCACAGTCTTTCAATGTGTATCATCAGATTAAAAACGGTGTTTATTACAATCTATGGTATTAATCCGTGAACTGGAACTCTCGATGAAGTAATTTAGCTTCAGGAAGTAGACGGTTCCCTGATCTTGCAAGGCAACACTGAAGCTTTCTTTCAGTCTACTGAAGCTCTAGTTGGCTTTTACACGTTAAGCTAACAATCCACTCGTGCATTTTAGGTAACTTTTATTATAACTGTTCTCGATATCTGTAAATTAAACTGATTAATTTAATTATTGTTTAATAAAGAAAAATAATCATAACGTTGTTATGGAGTATACATATCTTAATACAGTTTATTCAATTCTTCTGCACATTTTTACATTTACATCTAAGGAGGTTTGCACACTTAATGTCCCACTGTTCACTGTAAAATGGCTAGTCAATACACTGACTTCTTTAACTGTGTCACTATACCATGTACACCCATAGGCCTATATTCTTCTTTCCACAAACTAATTGCATTCATGGATGAAATGCGTTATTCAGTCTGTGACCTCTTACGGTGGGTCTCCCAACACTGCTTGCAAAGACTGAGAATCCAAAGGCTACAAACAACACAGGCCTACTGTTTCTACTAATAGAATCAGGCAGAGTTACAGCTCTGGCAAATAAGCACGCTGAGCTGGGGATCCTTTGAGGAAGACGTGATATGTTCCAGTTCATATGAAACCTAATGACGATGGAGATTGAGAAATCATACCAAGGGTTCCCCTATTCTCAAATCAAGGAGCGGTTGCAGCTACAGAACCAGAGCTGCTCCTGCATAGATCACAGCTTGTGAGGATTAGCAGGCATGACTTAATCTCTCACCCTGTCTAACATGGTTGTTGCTGCAATTGAGAGCGGATGAAAGATACGAAATTGTTTTAGGCTATACGCATGACCCAGAAGTGTAAATTTAAGCAATGGCTGATATCTGTGGACTGTGCTTTTTTAGATTTCCATGAAGACAGCAGGTCCAGATTTGTTGCACTGCTACATTGTCTGCATTAAATAACTGAGTGAGAGAAACATATCACTTTAAGTGACTCCCACCCACCCCACCAAACCTGCTTGTTTATGTACGTGAGAGAGAGAGAGAGAGAGAGAGAGAGAGAGAGAGAGAGAGAGAGAGAGCGAGCTAGTGGATTGCTGCAGATCAGGGAAACTTACATTTTATGGTCTTCCTGACATGACCAGTTTCAGACAATCCAGCTGAGCTCTGTCCCTCTCTGCTCTCTCTTATAACTCCATTACAAAGACTAAATTAAGTTTCCAGCCACTGCTCTGCTACTGTGGGCACGTCTCCATCTGCTTACAAAAAAGAATCAAGTCTAGGTTGTATTTTTTATACAGCACATCACCATTTAGATCCATGTAGAAACATGTGATTCGAAAATAATTGTTGTTGTTAAGATATTTGCAATTTCTTGTCATGGCCAACAGGGGACACTGCACTCTAACTGATTGGTATAAATAATTGAATATTTAATATTTCTATGATATTAGTGCCTGTTTACTCTGACCAACAAGTAAACATGTTTTATAATGTCCTAATCTATATTCCCCCCCCCCCCCCCCCCTCAAATTACCCAGAACTTTGATACAGTCATTGGCCCAAGATGTCCCCGTGAACCTCACCTGGAAAATATAAAAGTTATTAGATGACCAGAGATGTTGTGGCGCACAATAAAAGGCAAACAATAACCTTCAAGCAATGGTCATCAATACTCAAACAACCATCCATACACAGGTAAAGTACACTTTATATATATTTTTACAAGTTTTCATTATTGTCTTTCCTTTCAAATGAGTGTATTTCAAGCCCAAATGTCAACATTTCGGTTTTGGATAGTTAGGTGTACACCTCTCTGCACATTAAAGGTTAGTACACAAAGTGTATACGTGTTATACCTTTACAACGGGGAGAATTAAACATTGAGCAGCCATTATATCATATTATACTAACTTGTACTTGAACCCTCTTATGTAGTGGTGGACGAAGAACTAGTTAACTTAAGCCTAACTAAAAAAGAAATACCATAGTGCAGAAATACTTTTAGAAGTCCTGCATTCAAAATTTCAAGTAAAAGTACAAAGGTATTAGCATAAAAATATAATTGAAGTAAAAGTACCCATTATGCAGAAGAAAAGAGGATTGATGGGGTTTAGGTTGTATTACTGATTCATATACTTCGTATACTTTAAGTATACCTGCAGCAGGTATAGGTGGAGCTTGTTGAATTACTTTATATGAACTGCAGGGAGGCTTGTGAATGTACCCCCAACAATCAATAACGTATCTTAACCTATAATAATAAACCATGATGTATTTGTTGATTATGTTTTGTGCTAATCATCCAAATGTGCAAAGCAATTAGCAGCTAAAGTAATAAAAAAACAATAATGAAGTAAAACGTAGAATATTTTCCTCTGAAATGTAGTGGAATAGAAGTATAAAGTAAAAGAAAATTGAAATACACCAAAAGAACAAGCCTATCTCAAAATTGTACTAAGTAGGCCTACATTACTTGAGTGCATGTAGGCTACTCGTGTTCACGAACTTGACCATCCGTGGTTCGTGCAGTTCTTTGGGGTTTGTTTGGGCAACAGGAGGAGGTGGGAGTGCGTAAAGTGTGCGCCTTGTTTGGAGTCATATTACGCAGATGGGGAGCAGCGTCGGGGAGGGACTCTACACATGTGGAAAACGAGTAACTGTTGCGCTTAGCTGTCTCTCTCCTTGTGGGGGCCTTTCTTGAACGGCACACATTTGCGTAGGAAGACACCTGCACGCTCCCGGACTTATCCCTGAGTTAACGGGCAAGCCTCGGGTCTTAAACTTGCAGCCTGCGGTTATTTTCGCCGGAGTTGCAATAATGTTGGGCAGCGGTAAGTCAGCGGCCACCAGTCCCAGAGAGCAGAAGAGGAAAGGGGCAGAGAAGGCGACGGACCCCATCAGGAGGCTCGGTAAGGAAACATCCAAAGTGTTGAAGCTCCTTTCTGTTGCCGCAAAGTTACAACAAGGACTTAAATATGTGGATGTCAGAGTTCAGTGTTTTTGCTACCGTGGTATCACCTCTGCGACATTCTTGGTGTGTACTTATATGAGTGTGAGTGATTATAACGAATGAATGATAACTAAATAATGTATTCATATATTTTAGTAGCAATTTGGCGTGATATCTGTTGTATTTTAGTAGTGACAAATAGGTTTTTATCATGGTATTTACTATGTGTTGAGTTATCAATGCCATTGCTGTATTACTTATTTAAGTACTAGTGTTGCATCCTTTTTAAATATATGATACGATTTGCCTTGCAAGCTACTGATTACTTGTGAGGATTATTTGTCTTAACTTAAACATTAGGACTGTATATTTACTGTGCTTGTGACCTAGTTGCCCCCCAAGTTAAAACAATCAAGTAATATAGTGGGTTTCATTGGAGAAAACAGTTTATGACATATGAATAACAGCTTTTGTTTTTTTTGCTGTTAACCAGCGGATAATGACACATCAACCTGAGCAGTGTGGGTGTAGTTCAAGTGATCATGTGTTTATGAGGAGCTGAACTCCCTCACTAGCCCACTGATGTGATTCAGGCTCCTCACCAGACCCCAGCCTACCGTCTCTCAGCCCAACACTGATTGGCTGCTGTTCCCTTCACTTAAGTACTCTCAGCTCATAGTGACACCTCGCCCCAAAATACACCCCAAAGACACCTGCTGAGCAGCAACAGAGCACCTGTCAGAATCTCTGAAAAGAAACTGGAAGTCTGGGCCACGGTTTTGACCTATTTATAGTACTACATATGTAAACTGGGCTTGAGGCCAATAGTGTAGAATTCATGTATTTTTTTCACGGTCTTTGGGAGATTTACAATATCCAGTTAACAGCATAACATCAATAATTAAGTTGTTTATAAACTATAATGAGAACTGTATACGGGACATTTTAAATATGAGCAATACAATGACTGTACCCATGATTTCACAATAAAATACAGCACGCAGTATTTCCCCACCACAAAGTTTTTTAAAAAAACCAACAAGAAATCACTCTTTAAAATCAAGAACAACTTCACGCTGCTGCTGATGAACTATTTGTGCCCTTGTTACATTACATTTGTTTTTTCAGACAACTAAAATCCTGCTCCAAACGTTTAATCCCACAACACTGAAACCCTTATTTTTCATGCTTTCACAGCAGTGTGTGTGCAGGGATCCCGACCGTGGCATTGACACGGCAGACTATGTTGAAACTCTGACACTATGCAGACACTTGTTGAAGCATTACTGATGTTTGAGTTATGAAACTGTATCTCTGTGCCTGACAATGTAATGCACGACTGTCGATTCTATATTCAAGCGTCCCGCTAATACTGAATAATGAAGCCAGAGAGGTCACCCGTCCCTGACCCCTGTGTCATCACAAATCAGTCAGTTGGCCTTCAACCCAACATGTCTTAGTTGTATTTTAATCCTTACTTCAGATGGAAAACAACCCACACACTGTACCTTTGTCATTTACCAAGAGTGGAACTTTGTGTCATGTGGAGTCACAGGAGTAGTCTTACTTTATTGTTCAAAGATTTCTCGCTGACTGTAAGCCTTTTCCTACAGCTAAAGTTTCATGTGAACCTGAGGTTTGTTAGTTTTGAGATCATTTATGTTCGAATCAGACCAATGTACACATGGATGAATATATTCACTGCCACAGACGTCCCCTGTGGGGGTTTGTGGATTTAGTTTCAGAGAGAGAGAGTCTGAGGTTGTTGTCTGTGTTGTCAACTCTGGAGCTCTGCGGCGCAGTGATGGTGAAACACAGCAATTAGTTTATTGAGAGAACAAATAGACACAAACAAAACTTTATCGGTTTAGGCTTGCAAAACACCACAAATTCACATGAAACTAGATCCAGAATGCTACATTTTCAAACAATACTAATAAGAGAGAAACACAAATTGATGTGTTAGTGGCTTTTCCTAATTTTATGTAAACTGATTAGAAAAGTTATTTTGAACAACATAGACCAACATAGTAGGGAAATACTAATTCAATCTTCTATCTTGTCTTTTTCAGGCTTTTAAGTCTTTTTAGCAAACACACGTAGAAAATCCAATTTTTCTTTACACCAGAATATTTAAATCATCATGATACGAACAATCCAAAAGAAAAGAGACTCACACAACAATTACTTCCTTGTTTATGGACTCCTCACTGTGTGTTCATATCCTGCTCATTAATAAGTAAATTCATGAATTCATTATGAAAGACAAAGAGAATGCTAAAACTGAGTGCTGCTCATTTTCAGCCGAATACAAAGAGGCTGCCTCTTTGTATTCAGTATTTTGCTTTCATGCTCAACAGTGTGCCGTCCCCAAAAAAAAAAACATTGGCAGTAATTCTTCATTTCAAAATAACACTCAGTTTGTTTCATGGGAATATGTTCTCAGATCAGCCGCTGAGTGTCACAACTCCAAAGTACAATCATTTTATTGTTAAGCTTTCCTCAGATCACCTTTTAACTCTGGTTATCATCATTTTCGTTAAAGGCTGGACCCGTCTTTTGGGGACAGCTGTGAGACAGAATTAAGGAACTCTAATTGACCCTTCTGCCGTATCATGTCAACAACACTCTAACTTTTCTATGTTTATGCAAGTGTAGACTCCTTGCTAGCTGACTCTCGTGACAGTTGTTATGCTGAGAGAAACGTGAACCGTGTCCCAGGAGGATCTGGTATGTGGGTGAAGAGGACTCATGCAGACACGATCTAATATTGACCAGCTGATATGGTTATTTTCTTTCTGATCCTCCTCTCAGTTTGAAGGCGCTCCCGCTGCTCACAGTGTGGACACACGTACCCTCAGAGAAATATTCCTTATGGGACTGATTTTAATATTTATTTGTTTTTTTTTGTTTTTTTTTAGCCAGTTGTTCTCACATAGAGCTGTTTTACAAGTTTTTAGCTCTCTGGTGGTTTGTCGGTTCAGCTGGTCCACCACTTTGGTCCAGACTGAAATACTATTAGCAACCTTTGGATGAGACATTCATGACTGACTGGACTGACTTTTCCTCTAGCTCCGACAGCAGGTCTTCATTTATCCTGTGAATCTTCTCAACATCTGTCAGAACAGGTTGCCACCAATTTTTGCACAGACATTCGTGGTTCCCAGACGATGAACCCCTTTGACTTTTCCTCTGGTGCCGAGGTTCACATTAATGCTTTTAGGTAAAATGTTTCAACAACTATTTTATAGATGTTCGATGACATGAAATTTGGTGCAGACATTTATGTCCTTCACAGGATGAATTATAATCACTTTGGGGATACCTTAGCTTTACATATACAGTAGTGTCATCATTATAGTGAAAATTCAATCCAGTGCTGCTGTTGACCAGAATTCCTGCAAAACTAATCAGCCTTAGCCGTACTTTGTGTTTCTGGCAAACAAATGCTGGCATGACACATGCATATGCTAAACTAAGATGGTAAAGATGGTGACCAATAGACCTGGGAAACATCGGCATATTAACATTGTCACTGTGAGCATTGTCCCCAAAACAGGGCTGTGCAAAGTCACAGAGATGCTAGTGTGGCTAACATTTCCTCTCGCACCCTTGTTAGGTCAAAATCTTTCTTATCACCAAATACCTTTAAAACTAATGTCATTCCCATCAACCTCAGCTGTACTCTGTCATTTGTTTAGTACTACTTAGCAAATGCCTGCTATTTTTGCGCCTAAATTGGGATGTTTAACGTGATAAACATGTGCTTAACATCAGTATGTTGGCATTGCCAGTTAGAGCATGTTAGCATGCTGGTGCTGGCATTTAGCTCAAAGCACTGCTGGACTTGGTTGGCAGCTAGCATGGTTGTAGACTCTTTACTCTCTTTCCACTCCCACGTTGCTAATTCAGCTGCTTTTATAATATCTGTGATGTGTTGAAATGCTTGCAACAAAATACATCAGCATGGTTGCTAGCCAGTCGGCATGCAGAGCTTTGACCATCTGATGAAGGGGATGTCAACCAGATTTTCTGCAGGAGACAGTGAAAACAAAAACACGATTCAGTTCTAAGAATCATGCCCAACCCTCCGTTCACACCCTTAAATAAAGAGGTTTTCAGGAGCGAAAGTGTGAATGTGCCTCTGTTTAAACAAGCTGTGAATTGGCCAACCCTTTCAGGCTTGTCCTCACTTGCTCTGTTAGATATTAAAACGAAGCAGGTAAGAAAACAAGAATGTGGATTTGGCTGGAGAAGCAACAATAAGATGAAGCTGCGGGTTGAGACTTAGGCAGTTAAAGTTCTTTGGGCAGTTTAGCGTGGTCAGTGACCTGCACATTAATCTGGTCCATGTACTCCGCCTGTGGGAATGCCTTGCATGTGGTAACAGCTTGGAAAAACATGGTTGTTATGGATGAAGGGGTCGTAGGGCGATTTCTTTGTGTTCGACCCTGATGGGGAGAGATCCACGGCTGCACTCACAGTTTGTAGTCGGGGGGGAGGGAGCTGAGAGCAGTTTCTGTTGTGCTGTAGCTTCGGGGGCCCTCTGAGGAAGTTTGTTAGCCAACTGGCACCGACAGTATGAGGACTGTGATTTAAAGGAAAGTTAAAGGAACTTTGCCAACTGTGTCTTGACAAATCTTCGTAGGTGAGCAGAAGAGACTAAATCCTGAAGAATAATTCAACCAGAGTGAGAGTTTGCTTAGACTTTTCCTTTGAAACGTCCTGAAAGAGAAAGATGCTCTGTGAGAGGCCCCATTCATCCCTGCAAAAGAAGCAATGAGGCATAGCTGAATGTGCTTTATTAACACTTAACTTACTATGACAAAATCATGCAACTACAGCTTAAGTAACCACATTTTACCGCTAAAAGCTTTTGACAAATTTTACACCTCTTAAGCAAAATGTTAATTTGCAAACCGTCCCACCAGTTTTAAGCATTTGCATATAGTTTCATACAACTTTACAAAATAAATAATTGTCGAAATATTCATAAAAATCAGTACATTTTACATAATTTTACATTTGACTTGTCCACGCCACAGTATTGGATTGCACCCTGAGTCGTCTGTGGGTCTGTCATGTTTGAACTAGTGTGTAAACACTCCTCGCTTGTCCTTTCACCTTCAACCCTGCCGTCCAAAATCATCCTTAGTTTTAGATTAGAGCTGCAGCTGGCAACTTAATTCATTCTCGAATATTTTGCAGGTTGTTTTGTATGATTAACCCTCTAAATGTTTGGTCTATATAATGTCAGAGAAAAGTCAAAAATGCTCATCATCTATGTTCATTGACTAATAGATGAATTGACTAATCATCTCAGCTCTACTTTAGTCCTTATTTAATTAAGATGTAAACAAAACCAGCTCATGGAAAAGTGGCCTTGTACTTGTAAATTCAAATTAATTGTATCTTGTGCAAGTGTTTGCTTTTTTAATTGATCATAAAATGTTTCTGTTTTTTTAACAAGTTATAGGAAATGTACCAAACAGCAGTAGCCTACATACAGTAGTTTGTTTTCCTTTCTGTGTCTCACTGATACCACATGACTGGGCGTTAACTTACTGTCGACTCTCAACTTTAACCTGTGTTGCGTGTCCACCATGCCTCCTGCTTTGATCTTTTATTTTATCCTATAACTTGCCCTGATCCTTTCAGTGCTGACAACAAATAATGATAATACCTCTGTTCGGAGGCTCTGCATTTCTTTTAGCTTCTTGATTCAATTTCCATGTGATGGTAATACCTAGGGAGAACTACTATGAATGGTATAGCCAGGCAAATACTGTCTGTTGGCCTGCTACTGTCCCAAGAGTGATATAAATCTACAAATGATCATGGCTAATTCACATCTCAGCATTCGATTTCTCTCAGCTTTATTCTTTAAGTACGTTTTTCATTTTCATAAAGTCTAGGCTCTAAGAACATGCACAGAGAAACATTGCTTTGTTGAAACAAGTCACTTTTTAACACAATCCACGGCAGCTTCACTCAGCACACTGAAACCTTTCGCACAGGTTTGTATATGAAACACAGCCTTGGGTTTAGGGTATAAGCAGCATTGTTGTGACTGTATATGTGAGGTCGGCTTGACAAATACAGTCAACAAGGTTTTGTTTTTTTTGGGGGGGGGGATGTTGTAGGAGAGTTGGTCATTTTAAAAAGCAACATCCACTACCAGGAAACGTCACTCTCTGACCCTTGATGTATTTAAACTACTTTGGTTTATGACCAAATACCTGCAACACTATCAGCCTCAGCTGCACTGTTTGCTAATCAGCCTATGTTAGCATGCTTAAGCTGACGTACATGGTAAACATTAATCCTGTTTAACATCAGCATGCTTGCATTGTCATTGTGAGCATGATAGCATTTAGCACAAAGCAACACTGTGGCTAATCCTTACAGAGGTGCTAGCATAGCCTTGTCAACCTTACAGATGGAGACAAAAGATTAGGATTTACCTACAAACTTCCCCAGAGAAATGATGACGTTACGTTTAGAAATGGTTTTAGAAACCTTATGTCCTTTTGTATGTCGACACAATAAAATGGCTCAAACCCAAGACAAACTGCCCTTGCTGATGACACAATGTCAAACTGAATCAAAGTTTGTTTTTACAGTAAACTTCCTGTTCGTTTTGTGTGTGTGTGTGTGTTTGTGTGCTCCAGGGCTGCTGGACAATGAGGACGTACGCGTGATGATGCAGGGCTGCAACATGGTGAAAGTTCGCTCTTCGAGGTGGCAGAAGAGCCGGAACCTGCGGCTGCTGGATGACGGACTCACTGTGTGGTGTGAATCCACCAAGAGCTCCCGCAAAGCCAAAGCCCAGCAGACATGTGAGTATATCTGAAACTTATAGCTTTAAGAACAGGGAGAGTGGGATGGAGAGCACATTGTATTTGTGCGTGTGTGTGTGTGGTCTGGCTTGAGCAGACTAGGAGGGAGGGTGAAGGTGAAAAAGAGGCAAAGGACCAAGAGTTAGTTATAAGAAGTGAGGCGGGTTAAGGAGGAGAAGTATAGCTGTGAAAGCAAAAGTGCTCATGAATAGAAATTGGTTTTAAAAGAGGAAGCTTGAGCGATATCAGATTAGAGGAAAAGGGCTTTGACGGAAAGGAAACCTATCCACAGGGGTGCTATGTAGAGAAAGATCAGAAGGCCTTCCACCAGCCCAGTACAGACTGGGATGTGAGTCAGGGCGCCAGCTTATTGTTCAGGGTTCTTGAGCTGTTTTATCTTTGCTTGATCTCATACTTTGCTTTATGAGAGGGCTGTTTGTTTCCATTGCAAGTGAGGAAACTAATCATGGGCTCTGCAATCTGGCTAAACAATAATCATGTGTAGTTTATGTACCGATTCATAAACCTGGACTCGTGAATAGTCAGGTCCAGACTGCTGGCTCACTACTAAACCAATAATCTATATCTTCCTTGATAGTGATGATTCCACATGGAGTACACACTCACTGGTAGTGACAGAAATCTAAAAATGTTTTCAGTAAAACTATCTGCATGGCTCGATAAGAATAAGTGAATTTGAGATTAATTCATTTTTGTGTGGACTGACTTTACAAAGAAAAAGCAGAAACAATGCAAAACTGTAGTAATACAACTATAAATGACACAGATACTCTCAGTGAGGAATGTAATATTCACACATTATTTTAAATTTTAGTTCTCAAATCCCCCATTTTTTTAAACTACCATTCATGTCTTATCTGCAATGGCACACTGTGTCAAGTTACACCAGTGGCTTACATGAACGCAAATGCTTGAAAGAGTCATTAAACAGGGAGACGGAGACATCACACCTGATTGGGACATTAATCATAAAAAACCCAATATAAATGCGGAGAAGATGATGGCTTTTAGAGAGCAACATTAGCTTATATAACCTCAGCGGAGGCATTTCACCTCTCGTATTGACACAGAAAAGGCATTCAAACAAAAGAGATTAGACTGTAGAGAATGACAGGGCACTTATGTTATCTCAACTCTTCTTTACATAGCACTTTTTTGGAGCTAAATCTACTCTTGGAATGAAAATTGACTGCAAGCTGGGTGGGTGATAAATCTCTCTCACCCTCTTTTTATTTTCTTCCTTGTGTCGCTGGACGTTTTAGCTCCCCCACCTTCCACCTGTTTGTGCCCTTCTTCCTGATGTTGAAGAGCAGTTTAATGCTAGCCCCAAGCTAGCCTTACAGCGAGGGAGGGTTGTCAGGTTTGGTTTAGTGAAGGCCGTCTTGATTGTAGCTCCAGAAATAGACACAGAGTGGTCGAGTTGCCGCATGTATCACTGCTTACAATGATGTCAACAAATGGTGTGAGGACAGCCGGGCCTCTTCAGACAGATAGCGATAATTCTGCCCTGGCAGGCTGCTGGGAAGCATATCTGTTTGTGTTTCAAGTGCGAAGTGTGAATCCAGGATGGAGGATTGGCTTGGTTCCTCTTTTCCGAGCTCAAGGCGGTTCTCCAGGTCCAGTGTGATCTGGCGCCGTGCAGTTCAGCGCTGCCTCTGATGCTCTTCAGCACTTGGCATTGAATACAACACTTCGCACTTCTGCTGTCCCTTTGTAAACCACACACACACACACACACATGCACACACACCCACATTCTTGTCCCTTTTACCACGTCTCTGGGATAACCACAAAAGAGGAATGTGGAGTAATTTTGAAGAGGTGGAATACAGAGGCTTTATGACCTTCAGCAACAGAATGAGGCTATTGTCAGGCAATAGCCTCATTCTCAGTTGAGTTTACTACCCAACTGAGGGATCACTACACAGCAGGCATCCCAGTGCAGAAATAGACAAGATACTGTGCTGAATAAAGTTGTTGTATTAGGATCAACTAGAAGCCAGTGTTTGTGTTTGGCTGTCTTCTCTGGGCAAAAAGTATTTCTCAGACTCACCAGAAAATATGAAATCAGATCACATGAAGTTGTAGAAATCAGTTTTTTTGCTTTGCTAGAATAATTCATGTAAGTCCACCATTATGGTCCAGACTGAAGTAAGAAATCTCTGGTAATCCCCTGACTCTTCATTGGGCGCCATCATCAGGTACATTTAATGTTTACAATACCTGGGTTTAGATCTGTAACTAACAATTACTTCATTGTTGATCATTTAGTCTATGAAACATTAACAGCAGTGAAAAATACTCACAACATCCCAGAGCCCAAAGTGATGTCCTTAAATAGCTTGTCCAAAACCAAAATAATATTTTATCTATTGTCATACATACATGATGAAAACAAGCAGCAAATCCTTATATTTTAGAAGCTTGAACCAGCAAATATTAGCTATTTTTGCTTTGCTTGTGAAACGATTAATCAATAAAAATAGTTGCCAACTGATTTTTTATCTACCTTTCGTTTGTTACTAAATTCCTGCAGAATTAATTCACAGCAGCCTCCGTCTTACTTTGTGTTTAGAGCTAATTAGCAAAAGTCACATGCTCGACTTAGATGCCATTATGAGCATATTAGCATGCTGATGTTAGCATTTAGCCAACACAAACTCACAACATGGCTGTAGACTCAGTCTTTTTTTAATACCCCATAAATCAACCCTCCAAATGATCATTTACAGCCACCATGTTGAGATAATAACTAGTATAAAACCCATTAAGGTGCATGTTTTATTTTTACAATCCTGTTGCTATGGCACTCTGCTTTGTGGAACTTATGAATCCCTAAAAGGAAATGACATGTGACCTTTAGCGGCTTCACTCCTTGTGGCAGAGCTGTGTTTACTCAACAACACAAGAACCTATTTTCTCTTTCCCTCTCCTCCTCCAGTCGCAGTGACAGAAGTGGAGTGCGTGCGCGAAGGCTGCCAGTCCGAGGTGCTGAGGCGGCTGAGCGGGTCGGTGCCGGAGAGCAAGTGCTTCACAGTGGTCTTCAGAGGCGCCAGGAAAAGCCTGGACCTGCTGTGCCCCTGTGAGGATGATGCTCAGCGCTGGGTGCGAGGCCTCCGCACTTTAAAGGAGCACGTGGCCGACATGACTCAGAAGCAAAAACTGGACCAATATCCTGCCCAATTTCGAATATGCCAGAATAAATACACTGTAGCTGAGGCAGCATTGCTATGGCGACTGACTCTGCTGTCACATGTGCTGTCCCACATCCACAGCATAGCTAAAGTCAGCAGTAAGAACTAGGAAAAAATGTCATGTCTAAATATAGTCTGACTATTACTGTTAGTTACAGCCCCTCATAGCCAGTGGATAATATGACTGTATCAGGTAGAGCAAACCATTAAGATCATCGCCTTGCTTCTCTGTTGATCTATTTTTAGTTATTTTTGTTATATATATATATATCATATAAATCATCAGGACAATTATCTTGTGATCTCATCTATTATGTTTCACAATGCAGCCTGAGTGATGTTTATCTTGAACGTGTATGCGTGGGCTTTCTGTGTTACAGTTTCCATATGCAGGTGACAAACTATAATTAACCTTATGTTGCCATCAACTCCTTAATGCAGTTACATTAGACTTCATTTATTTGATAGACACTTTTGTCCTGCAGGATTTATCTTGATAGATCCTGAGGCGACAGCTAAATTGAACTTTGTGCTCACAAGTTAAACAGTCAACAAAAGATGCATTATGCCTTTCAGGATATGCTCAGTTGCCAGTTTATTAGGTACACATAGCTAAAACCAAAGCAGTTTAATACAACAGCTCTGCAATAGAACCCACCTTTGTGAAGGTTACAATTGTGCTTATTTAACTTTATGATCATTTCTGAGGCTGCAGTTGGTGTTGCTGTTCAATTGTATGGCATCAGACGGTTTCTATTATTTTGTCCACCCCCATATATATCAAGGTGGAACGCTGAATAACAGAAACTTGTAAGATTGAAGTGTATCCGTGCACATTATGAACCCAAAGCCTGCCTCAATTGATTTGAGGTTTTATTCCTTAACCCTCTGCACTTGGATCCGAGGCTACCTGAGGCGAGCGGATCAGAACCAGGACGGCAAGATGAGCTACGAGGAGGTCAAACGGCTGCTCCAGATGATCAACATTGACCTGAGCGAGCAGTATGCCCGCTGTTTATTCAAGGTCAGGATCATCCTGTGTATCTTCATTTGTTAGCACCTATAAATTATCCTCTTATTGTTGTAATTTATGTGAGCTGAACACTGAATGGATTGATTGTAAGGAAAGAGAGAATGACTGCTCAAAGATATAGAGTTGGTGATATTTTGTCAGTTTACTGTGACACCCTGGAGTCTAGAGTCTGTCTTCAATTACCAAGCCAGCGGCAAGCCAACCACCAACCCCCCTCCACGTCTTTATCCCCTCCCTCTTGTCTTCCCCTCAACAAAGCAAGACCCAGCTTTTTCCTCTATTGTGGGGCATTACCGCCTGCTATGTCCCCCAGCTCTCCATTATAGCTGAATTGTTGGTTTTTATGCTCCGTCCCGATGCAATTTCCATTACCGAACATCCCCAAGTACCCGTATTTTTATTGTAAGTACACACAGCTGGGTTGATTTCTTATGGAGATGCTTTCATCCCAGGGACTTTGAAGCATTCTCAAAATAAAAGCATACTGTGTTTGCCATGTGCGTCCAATTTGTGTCCTTTTTTAACTCCTCCTTATCCCCTCGCATCCCAGAGGTGTGACAGATCCTGTGATGGTCGTCTAGATCATATCGAGATTGAGGAGTTCTGCAGGGAGCTTCTGCGACGGCCCGAGCTGGACGCAGTCTTCAGACACTATTCAAGTAATGGTTGTGTGCTCGCCACTGCTGAGCTGCGGGACTTCCTGGGAGACCAAGGAGAAGATGCCTCGTTGAATCATGCTCAGAGCCTCACGCTCACCTACGAGCTCAATGACTGGGGTAGGTCCTAAAAGCAATCATTAAAGGCTTTAAAGAAAGAGCACACAACGATTTCATATAAACACTGTGAATGTCCCATTGGATAAAATGACAAAAGTGATTCTGCTTATACCTGTGAAGTCGTTTGCTATTCTAAGCACTGAGGCAAAAAACTGCTGTGCAATAATGTGATGTGCTTTTATGTTTCCAGCAGTTAAATTGGTTTATTTTAAGGAAGAACTAAGTAGTTTGCACGAGCGATATCTGCAATGAAAAGTAACAAAATGCCACCCACAACAACTCAAACTATTAACAGAATATCCAAGGAAAAATGTGTCAGAGAGCTGAGTTTTTATTTATTAGCACAAGTTCAAATCAAGCAAATGAGAGTAAGTTATGTTCACAGAGAGACAAAATGGCCTAAAATGGCTTATGCATAAATAAATGATAGCAAACAATATTGTTGACTTGAGCAATGTTGTGTTTTGTTTCTCATGAATTTCATTTGTGTTTGTAAGTAGAAGAACAAATCATTTTTTCTCTCAAAGGTTACATCATCTCGCTTTAAGTAAAACATAATTTTAACTGAATGAGTGAGACGTTTGGTAAGCTGAAGGCCAGACAATGAATGATTTCAACAATATTTAGACTGTTTAGCTTAATCCGTGTGAGAGAATAAAGCTGATTAGTGTAAACATTCTCTTGTCCTTGCTTTTCTCCCTGGTGCTAATGCATGTTGTTTAAACCCTTTAGTTAAACTCTCAGCAGTTTTTTCTGATAAAGTTGCTAAAAGACTCTTTAAACACTTTGCCATTTATTGCAGCTCAGAAGAACCACTTCATGACCCAGAATGGTTTCACCATGTACATGCTGTCCCGGGAGAACGATGTGGTTAATCCTGACCATGCCAGAGTCTACCAGGACATGAGCCGCCCTCTGGCCCACTACTTCATCTCCTCGTCGCACAACACTTACCTGACCAAGGACCAAGTCACCGGCGCCAGCAGCACTGAGCCGTACATCAGGTACTCCGACAGAGACTCAAAAAAACGTCATCAAGCAGCACATATTTCAGCATGATCAAAACCTATTGAGGTGTTCTTAATTTGAATGCTGAAGTACGTGTCTTTCACTGACAGGGCTCTGAATCAGGGCTGTCGCTGCGTGGAGCTGGACTGCTGGGATGGAGATAAAGGTGAACCTGTCATCTACCATGGCCACACTCTCACCTCCAAAGTGCCTTTCAAGGAGGTCATTGAAACCATCGTCCAGTACGCCTTTAAGGTCAGAGGAACTTGATTGGCTGGTGTAAATCCTCAGCTCTGACAGTATGCCCGCTGCTGCTCAATACTGCTAATGAAATAAGTGAGTTGTCAGTCAGGCTTCTTGCTTTCACGGCCCACTGCACTCCTTGTGGTTGCGAACTTGGCTATGTGGCAACCCTGCGGTATTTTTGTTTTGACATACAGTACTATTGCATTGCAGCGTTAGGTCCTGCATAGCTATCATGCGATCTGATTGCATTTCAATGGCACAACATATGTGTTTTTTCTGTGTTTCTCCCCGCAGGCGTCACCATATCCTCTAATCCTGTCCCTGGAGAACCACTGTTCTGTGGAGCAGCAGGCCGTCATGGCCACGCACCTCCGCACCATCCTGGGCAGCAAACTGCTCACCAAGCCGCTCAGTGACCAGCCGCCGAAGGATCTGCCTTCTCCTGAGGTACAACACACACCGACACGCAGCTAGATCCTTCTTCAAAGACATCTGGCTGTCTGGTTTTCTAACGCAGTCATTTGTTCCAATGACCTTCGTTGCAGGAGCTGAAGGGGCGTATTCTGGTGAAAGGGAAGAAGCTGATTCCTCACTTGGGCCAGCTGGGCAAGGGCGGCAGCTGTGCCAGCTTCTCCTCAAGCTCTGAAGATGAACCAGCAAGCGGCAATAAGAACACCCCCAAGAAGGATCCTGCAAAGGTCAGTTCAGCAAGACTTGTCGTTAAGCCTGAGAAGCTGTTAAAGTGAACTTTAAGATAATCGCATAACATTTTATTTTATGTTTGTATTTGCCCTTCTCAGGTCTGTTCTAAACTGAGCCCAGAGCTATCAGAGCTGGTGGTGTACTGCAGAAGTGTCCCCTTCCGTGGCTTTGAAAATGTGTCTGAAAAACCTTCAAATGAAATGTCCTCCTTCTCTGAAAGTGATGCCCTCAGGCTCATCAAAGACTCGGGTACAACAATGGAAATAATTGCATCTTGACATTACATAGAGAAAAGTCAAAATGATTTTCTGACGTCGCTTTACTGCAGCTGATTCTCCACAAAATATAATCAGCCTCCAGTGTATCGTGGCATACTGGATTTCTTCTTTTCATTCGCAGGAAAGCTTTTTGTGAGACACAACAGCAGGCAGCTGAGCCGGATCTACCCCTCCGGCCAGCGCCTCCAATCATCCAACTATGATCCTCAGGAAATGTGGAATGGTGGCTGCCAGATGGGTTAGTACTCCAGACTAGAAGCTTGGATGCTGTTCTGATGGCAGCACATTAAGGCAATTCATTTGAAACACATTATGTGGTCAGTAAGTGCCAAAGAAATGTTATCCTGACTGATTTCTGCAAATTGCTGCTACATCATCATATGATGTCACCGGCTTTTACTGACTGACAACATTCACCGGTGCTTTATTGATTTCCGTCGGTGTGATCAGGCTTGCCGTGTCACTGACTCCACTCTCTGTGCTGTTCAGTGGCTCTGAACTACCAGACCTCTGGGGAGCAGATGGACCTGAACCAGGGTCGCTTCCTCCCCAATGGTCGCTGTGGGTATGTTCTTAAACCGGGCTTCCTGTGCAGCCCAACTTCCGACTTTAACCCAGAGATCACGGGTGGAGGCCCAGGTCACATCCCCACCCAGCTGTCTATACGAGTGAGTGGTAACCTAGTGAGTAACAGTGTTGCAGTAATTAGATTTTTGATATACTGGAATCCAGTTTTCACATACTTTGTTCATTTAGATCAGAACTGTATGTTTGCACTTTATTTACCTAATATTGTGTTGTTGCTCCTCTATAGTGTAGTTTTAATGTTGTTGTTTCTGACTACTACTACCACTGTTTGCAAGAGATATTCCTCCTCTGTAGCTATTCCAGAGATTTCTTCCTTTCTTCCCATTGAAAGTATTTTTTCATGATTTCTCTGAAATGAGGTTCTAAAGATAGAGGGAGTTGTATGCTGCCCAGATTGTGAGGCCCAATGAGGCATAATTGTGATTTTAGGCTACACCAATAAAATTAATTTGACTTGACTCAGAATTGGATATGAAAATTGACAAATTACATTTTGCTTTTCAGATAATATCTGCGCAGCAGCTGCCAAAAATCAACACGGAGAAGGCCAGCTCCATTGTGGACCCACAAGTGTGGGTTGAAATTCATGGGGTGGCTATTGATAATGCAAGAGACAAAACCCACCGCATTGACAACAATGGTAACGCTGAGACATCATAAATCAATTAAAGTGTCAGTGTTATTGTCTGTATACTAGTAAATGTTTTAAGCAGATAACTAATACTGTATTTTTAGGCAAATCTATTGCTATGAAATAATGTTACTGTATGCTGTAGTGCTGTTTTTGATGATGTAAATGCAGGAGGCCACAGATGACAGCATTAAGCTGCACAGATCTTTTGTAGGAGCCTTTCCTGTCCATGACCATGATTAGTTTGTTTGAGAGGTACATTACTCCGGATGATGTATTTATGGCTCTTGTGCGCCCTCTACAGGCTTCAACCCACGATGGGACTGCACTCTGAGCTTCCAGCTGCAGGTCCCTGAACTGGCTCTTGTGCGGTTTGTTGTGGAGGACCATGATCACACTGCCAAAAATGACTTCGTGGGGCAGTTCACTTTACCTTTCATAAGCCTACGAACAGGTGCTCATAAAGATCTACTGTGCATATTATAGACTAGTCATCACTGTGGCGTGTTTGTGATGTGTGTGTGTGTGATATCTTTCTTCTCAGGTTATCGACATGTTCATTTATTGAAGGCAGATGGTTCCAGTCTGTCCCCCGCCACCCTCTTCATCCATGTTAAAGTGACCCGCAAAGGAGTTCCCGTCAAAACTGTGTCCGAGCGTATGGCCATTGCCAAAGGCAAGGCATGACGTGCATCTGAACTAGATGGAAAGCTGCATTTTCTGTCAACAAAGGGCTTTGGAAAAGGAGCTCTGAATGTGAGCAGAGACAGACTGCTGTTGTTGCTGCCAGCCGATCTCCCAGTCCAGACCTCAAGTGGTCCAATTTACACGAAGCCACTTCCCACTACACGAGGAGAGATGTTGTTTTTCAGAGATGAGGAAGCGCGCTAGCTCTTAGCAAATGAATTGCCTCAGGATAATGAGTCCATGATACACTGTGGGAGAGTCTGGTCTTGTCAGTGCTGAGTGCTCTGGAAACAGGGCACAGAGGATTGTGGTTCATGAAAAACACCAATATGGGACTCGTTACAAAATTAATTTTAGTGTTGTTTACTCTCATGTGTAGGTGGCTAGCCAACAATCTGTTGGACTGAAGATGAGTTAATTCATCCTTTTATATTTTAGAAGTATTTTAACATTTTTACACGTCAGTATTTGACTTAAACTTAAAGAATGAGGATATTTTAACAAGAAACAACATTTACTAAACTGATACTGTCTCATTCAGTAAGTGTTATAAGTGGGAATCCAAGCATGTGATTGAAATGAAAAATATTACTGTTTTATTAATTATTGTTTCAACACTAATCGTGATGTAATACAGATTTAATAGTGTTTCAGAGATTGTCATAGGTTGTTTTATGCATGAAGGATGAACAAATGATACAATTGTTTATTCATTTAGTCTTACTTTATACTTCAGATACTTGGCACTTTTAATTTTATGACAATATATTTCTACAACTTAAAAATGAACTTGAAATATAAACAGTATTAACTTTAACTTAACATTATTACAAATGTCACTTGTTGTATTTGCTCCAGCATCATTTCACACGCGTTAAAATAAGTGTTTATATGTTAGCGATATTAGCTTGAAGCCTCCTTTGCCTCTTTTCTAATAACATCCCTGCATAATTATTTGTGTAGCCAATTATCATCCCGACAATCATATCTCAAAATTGTGGTTGAACACTAATTGCAACAATCTGACACATCCACCGATTACTTTAGGCTACAGTGAATCATTTAATGCTCTTATAAGGAGCTTCCCTGATAATAAGATGGGGCAGTAATGAAAGGTGCTGCACATGGATTACTGTAATAACAGCATATATGATTCGGATGGATTTCAACATGGAACAAATGGTGCAGTATGACTTTGCAGTGTTAAAATGTAAAGCCTCTGTTGTGTGAATGGCAGTTGGTATTATGTCTGCAAGAGAAAATACTGTTTTCATAAAAGCACTAATAACACATTGCTGCGTTTTGTTGTCGTTTTTGCATACGCTATCAACAGAGAGACATAGTCTGTGTGTGTGTGTGTGTGTGTAGGGCGGCGGGTGTTGCAGGATAGAGAATATATATGAATATCTCCACATCACATTTGGTTTTCATATAATTATTGTATCTGAGCAGCTAAACTCCTTGCAAGCTGATAATCTGCAGGAGATCCAGAGGACCAGTGAACTGCATGCAGGCCAATGCCATGACACTTCATAACGTGGGAATTGTTTTGAGTCAATCAAAATATACTGTCCTGTAGTAAATTCTTAATAGCACGCCATATCTACAGGTGCAAATGGTCTCTCTAACAAATATGTTTTAAGAATTTATTTAGCCTTTAAAAAAAAGAAACTTTAAATTTGTGAGCAGTTATGTCCTTAGCTGGAACCATATGTGGCTGATTGTCACAGAGAGGTAAGGAAGTCAGCAAGTACTGCAAAAGGCACAAACACATTGTTGTTTTCTTTTCATGGGTCTTGTTGAAAAGAAAAATTAAGAATATTGCCAATTTTATCCTTGAATGCGTACAACATATACAAAATTGCAAAAACAATTATTAACCATTAACACACTTTAGTTCCAACTTACAACTACTTTATAAAGGGCGTCTTATTTGAAAGTAGTACCATACTGCTGTTATCACTTTACATATAGCCTACATATGTTTAGTGGTTGAATGTAACAAAGTACATTTAGTTTCTATTATCTGCAACTTTATACTTCTATTCCACAACATCTTAGAGGCAACTGTTTCACTTTTTACTCTACATTTGTATAATACCATTGTACATCAGAATGTATTTGTTGGTTATATGTTGTCTTATTAACCTAAATCCGCAAAGTAACTATAATTTACAAACATGTACAATGTTTGTCTCTGAGATGTAGTGGAGTATAAGTATAGATGGAAAATTGCATGAAATGGAAATAATCAAGTAATGTACAAGGAGCTCAACATTGTAGTTGTACAGTAACCTAACGTTAGTTGAGTAAATATATGTACCTCCTGTCAAAAAAGTGTTTTAATTTCCCTTCACGTGGCTCTAATCATGCTTGTGTGCATGTGTACGAGTATAAACCCCAGAACGTGTGTTACTACAGCCTCTTATAATAAACAGCCACAAGAGGACAACAGTGAAGACATTTCCATCACCGCTCTAAACCAATAGCATCAGAGGGAGCTTTAAAGTCGTCGAGGGCACGCGGTGGCTCTTCACTTCCTGGTTGAAGATGGCGGATGAGAATGAGACAGCACCGATGCCGGAGAAAGAAGATGTAGAGGACCACGGACACTGCAGCGACTGTGAAAACGAAGAGCACCACTCTGACGATGGGTAAGAAGGCAGGCTTAGCAGCAAAAGCGGTGAACAATATGTCACGTCTATGTAGACTTTATCAAAGCGTGATCAAACTAAAGCGTCGGGGAGCTGTCGGGATAGACAGCCATCGATGGAGGTTGGCCCGTCCACTTGCCTTTACCCTATTGGTTAGAAACACCCGTTGCCTACCAGTTCCTTTGATGTGATTGGCTGAGAGTCCGTCATGTCGCTAATGTGGGCGGGCTCTACAGCGCTGATAGCAAGGCGTAGTGTGGAGGTAGCAAGCCCAAAGTAATATTACGCTTCAAAGCTAGTCATTTAATAATATACTGTCACTTGTACAACTTACAGAAAAAGTTATTTTTATTAAGTTGCCAGTGTGATATATTATTTGTTTATATATTGCTGTCTGCCTGTAACTGATGCAATTCATGGCAACCCCAGTTGACATTTAGCAAGTTAGCATGCATGCTAGCATAGCTGTCAAACCCCTATTGTCTGTAATAGGATCCGTGTGCAGACAGTAGCCGAATCAAAAGTGAAATAAGCAAAACCTGCACGTTGTTACACGTGCAACTTGATCATATCGTTTGTTTTGGGCTGGCTTTGTTAACTCGACAGTCGGCAGAGCTTTTAATTCCCTCTTTTAAAATATGAAATATCCTAAATCAGCCTAATGTCAGCTCTCCTACGGAATCAGGCTTTGATTGAGTCCTACTGCTCGGCTTTGACTTCTGTAAATGTTTACTAAGCGGTGACACACACACACGAAAGGAGCATTAGCTTGCAAATATTAAGGCGTGTCCTGCTCACCGTATATGCGAATTATGCCATTGGAGAAAGTGTTGGTCTACCTTTATTAGTGGCTTATGACTTCTTCAAAGAAATCTGAGTCTAACGTTACTTGTCATCACAGGCCTTGGTGTGATCATGAGCTGTGAGCAGTTTGAACACAGAGTGAATTTTATTTCTTGGGCTGTTTTTTAATTGAATGGTTTTGGGGGCCCTGTAGGAGGTAAAAGCGTTCATTCTATGAGGAAAAAAATGAGAAAAATGACACAATTTTATGCATAATCCACCGCTGCTGTAAGTAGAAAATGATGACCCTATTTATCAATTGAGGTGAAGCAAATGTGAGCTTCACTCCTGCTCTTTTCGAGCAACACATGCGACTCCCCTGCACCCAACTCACAAAGAATGGTTCTGGCCGCTAGCTGGTCTACTCTGTTGAAATGGAAGCCCGTGGAACAAACTATTGAATGTTTTGTTATCCATTGTCCCCGTCACTCACTGACTTCTTGTACGTACATGCATATATACACAAGTGCATATATACCTTCCAGTCCTCTTCCAGAGGTCATGTGATTCACCATCTGTGCTGGTGTTACAAATACAGGCCGGTGCTTGGCCTCTCTCCTCTCTTGGACACTAATGAGATTATCCTCTGTAAGTATGTAGTCTCTCTCGGGTGGCTCTCTTTGTGTGGCTCCTCAGGTTTGAAATGATTAGGAAATGGGGGTTAGTGACACACAGGCTGTGGGAGGGGGTTGCAGGAACTACCGGTGTACGGCGATTTGTGTTTCTTTCCTGTGTCCATTTCAGTCACCTTTATCAGCTGATGCGGGTGATGGAGAGGGACACAGTCCATATGTCCAGTACTCTACCTTATGTGTTCTGCCAGTTTATTGAGACTTTATATTTCTGTCCTTTCAGTGACAGGGGTCTGGGTGACGACACTGGTGCCAAGAAGAAGAAAAAGAAGCAGAAAAAGAAGAAGAAATCTGGTGCCACAGAAGCTGCTCAGGACCCCCTTGCCAAGGCATGATATCCTTAATTTTATGAAGCAACAATCAAAATCAAAGGGTCAGATCGCCTAAAATTCAAAAGGAAAACTAAAATATTTTAGGAGTTACAGTTCTACTACAAGATAAAAATCATGATAGTTTCCTGTTGTGGACTGTGGCTCGTAGAAATCTGTGCACTTCTTGCTCACAGTGCGACACTCTGCTGATTAGAACATTGAACGTCTTATCTGCCACACCGGACTAAATAGAAAATGATTAATTTTGGTGGATTGACCCTTTTAACCCTGTTGATTTCTGTCTGTGTTTTGCAAACAGGTGAATTCATTGCCAGCTGATAAGCTCCAGGAGATCCAAAAGGCCATTGAACTGTTCTCTGTCGGCCAAGGCCCTGCCAAAACCATGGAGGAGGCCACTCGGAGGAGTTACCAGTTCTGGGACACGCAGCCTGTGCCCAAGCTAGGTATGACATTTGTCAGAGCTGTCAGTTGTGCTCTATAGACATGTGGATGTCATTTATTGTAGGTTTCTGTGCTTATGTCACAAACTGTTATGTTTTCCTTCAGGGGAGACTGTGACATCACACGGATCCATCGAACCTGACAAAGACAACATTCGTGAGGAGCCCTACAGCCTCCCGCAGGGCTTCAGCTGGGACACCCTAGACTTGGGGAACACTGGTGTGGTAAGAGAGTGCATTAACACACTCGTAGCAGGAGTGCACATGAGGAATTCACCTTTTAGCAACAATCTCCTGGACTCTCAGTGATCTGAGCTTTATTTTGTTAAACAAACGAGTGGATTTTTTTGTGTGCCAATGTGAACATAGCCTTCAGTCATTGCTGTCAACTCCTCAGTCGTGTGATTACTGATTAATTATTACTTTAATAAAGCTGAACTGTAATGCTGAGATCCACAAACTTGCTTTACAGTGAAAACTACAGTAGCGAAAGGAAACACCGGTGTGGCTCGCATACGCAAAAACAAGCTTATTGCCTCATTTACGAGATTCTTCATAGCAAAATGTTACGATGCCAGTATCTGCAATTCTAATTTTCATTTGCAATGTTGAATGCACATTATGTGTATGATTGATTATGCGTATTGTTAGAAAAATGAATTCATTAGAATTGATACAGAACAGGTGGAGTTGGCAGAGCATTGTCATGTACGTATTAATAGGCACATTTACACATGCAGATATAGAAAATGTCTAATTCTGTTGTTCTTCTGTAAAACCAGCTCAAGGAACTTTACACCCTTCTCAACGAGAATTATGTTGAAGATGATGACAACATGTTCCGATTTGACTACTCCCCCGAGTTCCTGCTCTGGTATTTCTTTTCAGAACTGATATTCTTCCATTTTACACCTGGCAGTGATGTTAGAATGAAATGCTAAACTTGATACATCTAGACAGCAAATACTTTCCTTAAATAAAGCACATGGATCAACATTTTATAAAATATTAATACAGGTGATGGCAGTATAATAATCTGTTGCATTTAATGACCGACCCTTCTCTCTCTCTCTCTCAGGGCCCTGCGGCCCCCTGGCTGGTTGCCCCAGTGGCATTGTGGGGTGAGAGTGAACTCCAACCAGAAGCTAGTAGGCTTCATCAGTGCCATTCCTGCTTCCATCTCTATCTACGACATGTAAGTGAACACAACAACGCCGTGTGAAAGTATAATGGATTGAATCGATTACATCACTCGATTTCCACATTAAGTTCACTCAGTGACCATGTCAGTATTACTTTATAAACTTTGTTAAGGTACTCAAATTTATGGCAGGGCTGTTAAAGTGTATCTTAACGAAGGGGCCACTCTGTGTACATATTGTTGACCAGGAAAACACCTCATGCTGAATAAGTTGTCTTAAATATAGATCAGTCTTATATTTTACACTGAAAGTACAGTATAGCAAATATTTGTGTGAATTGTGTTCTTCTGATTTTTAATCTAAAGGTTAAAATGTAAAAGTGCAACACGTGATAGATTATTCATTTTAATGTAAAAAGTATTTAATACTATTTTGTATAAATGCTTTTTTCTGTCATTCTGGTTTGAGTTTGTTGTAGAGTTGCTCACGTAATGCGTTCTTTCTTTGTCTGATGTTTAGAGAAAAGAAAATGGTAGAGATCAATTTCCTCTGTGTCCACAAGAAGCTTCGCTCCAAACGAGTTGCTCCGGTTCTGATAAGAGAAATCACCAGACGGGTCAACCTGCAGGGCATTTTTCAGGCAGTTTACACTGCTGGAGTGGTACTGCCCAAACCTGTGGGCACATGCAGGTGAGACGGACAGAATAGCTCTCCACATATTTTATGCACACAACCTTCCCTCTTCTACAAATCCAACTTCTCTGCACAGGTACTGGCATCGCTCTTTGAACCCACGCAAGCTAATCGAGGTGAAGTTCTCCCACCTGAGCAGGAACATGACGATGCAGCGCACCATGAAGTTGTACCGTCTTCCTGACGTTAGTGAAAACACACATATTTCACAAACACAAATATGGGCCACCAAGCCCTGCCGAGCCTTTATGCTTCTCCTCCCTTGGTTTCGCTCCTTCAGACTCCGAAGACTTCCGGCCTGCGGACGATGACCAAGAAGGATGTCCCAGTTGTGCATCGCCTCCTCCGTGAGTACCTGAGCCAGTTCAACCTGGTGCCCGCCATGAACCAGGAAGAGGTAGAACACTGGCTGCTGCCCCGGGAGAATATTATCGACACTTACCTGGTGGAGGTAAAGAAAAAAAATTCCAGAGACTTTTTGCCCGAGACATCTTTAAATAATTCTGTCTTAAACCATCCTGCTGAGAGGCTTTGTATAAACGTGTGTCATTCTCTTGACAGAACGATGGCAAGGTAACAGATTTCTTGAGCTTCTACACACTGCCCTCTACCATTATGAACCACCCTCTGCACCGCAGCCTAAAAGCAGCGTACTCCTTCTACAACGTGCACACCACCACCCCCATTCTCGACCTGATGTCTGACGCCCTCATCCTGGCCAAATCGGTGTGTTCCTCTTCAATCCATGTGTGTGTGTTCTCTGAAATGTTGATTCTCAGGGAACTAACGACTTGTTGTTGTTTTTTTCTTCTCGTCTCTTTATCCAGAAAGGGTTTGATGTCTTCAATGCACTGGATCTAATGGAAAACAAGACTTTCTTGGAGAAGCTTAAGTTCGGCATCGGTGATGGAAACCTACAGTATTATCTGTACAATTGGAAGTGTCCCAGTATGGGCTCAGAAAAGGTACATTTATAGTGGCAATATCACAACCTAAAGTCTGCCAATGCATTGATATTAGTTTCCTCAAATAAAGTTGGCACCCTCAGACCTGTAGCAAGAAGCTACAGCAGCTAGGAAGCTCATTGTACCATAATGGGCAAGGGTCAAATTTAGAACTTACACGATCTTGAATTAATTCATCATATTTCATTTGTTATGCCCTCCATTCATTTTTCTGCACTTTATCTGGACTTGTTGCTTTATGCTACTGATATAATGATACATAACCCTCGACCCTATCCTCCCCACTGGTTCTTCCATTCAACTTTCATCCCTTGGCTGGTTTGACCATAAAATAAGTATTATTTTACATTGTATGTGGTATTAAAACTGTCTTTAAATATCTTAAATTTAGCTTGGTGGACCCTGCAAATAGCTTTTGTAACCTTAAATTTCCCCAAAACATGTTTGTAACTGCTTTCCTCACATGTCCTCCTCTTCTCTCTCAGGTTGGGTTGGTACTGCAGTGACATCCCTTTACGCCACAAACAAGTGTCACCAACAGGCCAGGAGATGGCACCATGGCACAGACCACCGGACAGATGGACTGATGACTTCCTGCTTCAGGAAAGGAAAAAAAAAAAAAAAACACCCACCGCCCATTTTTACTTTTTGAACTTTGACCTGCACTACCGCTGCCAGGCAGGGAGGAGGGAGAGCCTCGCTGCTCTTCCTCCTCCCTCGATCACATGGACCTTAAGCCATTGTTACCATCACAAACAGCTGTATTTCATCTGAGAGCTGTCTTGATTGTACACATACACACAAGAACAGTTTGCACAGATTACTGTATATCAAACACTCACTGTTGGCATACCTACGAAACGTACAATACATGTAAATAATATCAAACATTACTGAGGATTATGCCCTAACACATGCAGACTAGAACCTACTGTTCTGTTTGATTCCTAAACGTTGGAAGTGCTTTTTGCAATTAAAGTAAATCTGTCATCCTTAAGTTTTAGAGATTAAAAAAAAAAAAAGAAAGAAGAATCAAAATGATGAAAAATTATTTTAAAGAGGAAAAGGTTAAAAAATGCGAGGTAATAAATACCAAAAGTGGACACCAGGATAAGGGCTTCTGTTAAAATGTTTCTTGTCATGCTTTACCCTGTCTCATCAAACCCTCTGTCATTATGGATAAGATGTTTCCTCATCTGTATTAACTGTCATGACCTCAGCGTACTGCACTAACAGAAGAAGCCCTGAAACACAGACTGGTGTCAGTGGACCGGCTCAGTTGGAGGTTTGGACGAGGCTTGGACTCCCACGCGGAGGTTGAATGCATTCTGATGGGGTTTTACACAACACATGGCAGGAATTGGATTTGTAATGACGCCTCTTGATTTTAACTGTGCTCCAGTTTCTATGTCCACCCGTATGGGCTCTCAGGTTTTGTCAAATGTTCCTGAAAAAGTCTGCAAGAGCTTAGGTTACAATGGAAAGTGTTTGAGGGTGATTTTTAGGACTTTGTCCTCATTTGCTTTAGGGAATCGCACAGTAAGTCTTAAAGATTAATATAATAAAATGCAAAGATGAGGAAAAACTGAAAGATCTGGCAAGTTTGAATGCACGGACTGTGTTTAGCTCCGAGGGAATTGATGGTTTGATGTGGTCATCACCTATATTATGCTTTTATGAGCTTTATTTAGAAAGTGAAACAATATAAAGTATGAGCACTGCAGGTAACATTACAGCATTTGGAGCTCTACACTCATCATGCAGGTGATGTCAGTTTAAAGTCTTGATGTTAGAGCCGGGCTGGTGTAAAGCCGTCTGGACTTCCAGGACATTGTGCAGCGTGAGAGTGGTGGTGATGATGATGATGACTGGGGACGTGCCCCACTTAAAGTGTTTCTAATGTAAAATGCTGGTTCTATTTAAAAACTGATGTAAAAGAAGAATGGGTCTCGTGGTGTTTTGATGCAGGAAAAAAATGTGAAGATGCAGGTGATTCATTTTTTCTTTTTTTTCTTTTTTTTTTTTTAGCAAAAAAAAAAAAAATAAAATCTAGGAGTTGCTGTGAGGATTTTGTCAAAGTTCATGTTTACACAGGATATCGAATAAACTCAAGGACCACTTGCTAGCTTTTTTTGGAGATTAAAACTGGATCTAATAGTGTTCCTCAGTGGATGGTGATACAGCAAGCAAGTACATGGATGTTAAGATTTGTTCTTTGTCAAACTACTGTGACAAAGGCCAAGACTAAGGTATCATGCAGCACTATTGTTTCCTAATTGCATGAGGCTTTTAGTTCAACTGTCATTTTTAACACTTTTTTTGTTGACAGTATGCAGACTATCAACTTAAGGTGTTTAACAGATGTGGAACCAGGGGCGCTCTTAATTTAGATGGATGGTTTAGCACGTTCACATCAAACAAGTATTGCTGATTTCCTGTATTTACAGTACTACAAATTCTACTTTTAAGAGTACATTTTTGTTGAAAATGGAATTTAATAAAATAAAACTCAAATGTCTTTGCAGGAGTTAAATGACACAGATACTATTGTGATTTAATCTTAAGGCTTGTTTTTAAAATATATCATTAAAGATGATTCTTAAGGCCTCAGATAATTAGTGTTTAAATGGTTTTTATATTTTTTTATGATAATATTCTTTAGTTTATGTTTATTTTTATACTTTTTAAGCCTCACCAAGGTCAAGCAGAGCCTTTATTTCCAATTATGAAACAGTAGGGGCGTGGTTTGCGTCTCTTTTCTTGTGTTGTAAAACGAGGCGTCGCTCTCACACTCAACTTGACGTTGATTGGTCGAAACTGCCCTGAGGCCGGCGTCACTGCCTCACGTGTACTAATGGAAGGCTCTAATTGGCCGGCATCTCCTGTCAGTTGTGCAGAGGGTAACTCTGGAGTAACGCGGAACTGTGCACTCGGGAGTGTTGGAGAAGCTGGCACGATGTTGCTCGTTGTCGGGATAGTTTGTGTCGCTTTGGTCGTTTTTACATTAAAATATGTCTTCAGCAGCTCCGGGCCCAATCCCTTCGAGAAGGACACTCGTGAACCGTTAAAGAAGATGGTTCACGACAGGAAGGAGAAAAACAAAGTGCTGAAGCAGGGTGAGTTACTGTCAACGTTAAACTACCAAAGGTTTTAGTTGAAAAAACCTGAAGTCATTTTTATTGAAATAATAAAATGTTGAGTAATCTCACCCGCAAGTGAATTTGTAATTAGTTTACATAGTCAACGTTGCAGGTCCAAGTGTCCCTGTAGGAGAATGCGGCTGTGGGGAAATTGAACCCGTCTTGCAACATTAGTGGGGACCGAGGACATTGCTGTGATTTTATACTTTAAACAAATGACAAATGCATGTATTGAAATTAAGTGTCAGTTTGAAACAAATTGTAAGTTGTAGCATTGCTTCTTCCCTCAGAGGTTGCAGTTCAAAATAAACTGCTATTTTGCAAAAAAATGATCTGGGTGCAACATTTGAAAGCTTTTTGCTTTCCTGGTCGGTATATTGCTGAAAATCAAATATATTTTGAGCTTTTAGACTGTTAGAAATATCAAATGAGAGATAAGTCGGTAATGAAAATGATGGTTAGTGGCTGACCTAACTCGCTGCACACACTTCTTCATCCCAACATGTATTTAAAACTGAATTAATTCAAACCATTGGGCTTTAAGAAACTCTCTAAGCTAATACTGCAAAGTTAAATATGTCCTGATTAGTGATTAGTGTGCAGCATGGACTCCTGAGAGTTTACATTTTAATTGTGTGTGTGACTGCCAAAAATATTATTTGTTATTGATTGTTTATTCTTAAATATAGAAAATGAACAATTGCACATTGCAGTCCACAAACACAAACAGTTTACAAAGACATAAAACGGACAAAAACGGTACATTCTCACATTTGCAAAGCTGGAGCTAAAATATGTTGTTTAACTTTTTTTTTTTTTTTTTTTTTTCTTTTTTTTTTTTGATGCTTTTCATGTCAATCGACTCAACAGTAAACATTTGTTCTCCCAATGGAATCCTCAGATCTACTTTTATTGTGCCAGTTTGTGCTGCAGCCGTGCCCATTGTTTGAACATTTTGTTGCCTTTTCGTCAGGTTTTCTGGCCAGTAGAGTTCCTGAAAACCTGGATGCCGTCATCATCGGTAGTGGGATCGGTGGTCTTGGGCTTGGGGTGCTGCTCGCCAAAGTTGGAAAGAAAGTCCTGGTTCTGGAGCAGCACGATCGGGCTGGAGGATGCTGCCACACGTTCACTGAGAAGGGCTTTGAGTTTGATGTTGGTGAGAAGAACATAAAATGAAGACATTTATTTTGTTGTTTGACACTTTGTGTGAAGTGACTGCACCCAACATTTAAAAAGCTGACACACACTCTGCTGTGTCCACGTGTTTTCTGCCTTTCTCCCTCAGGAATCCACTACATCGGTGACCTGCAGGAGCACAAGCCGTTCCGCTGCATGCTGGACAGCATGACTAATGGACAGCTGCAGTGGGAGCCTCTGGAGAATCCGTTCGACCAGGTTGTGCTGGGACCTCCAGAGAACCGCCGCCGGTACCCCATCTACAGCGGCAGGACCCGCTTCCCCGAGGAGCTGAAGAAGTGCTTCCCTGGAGAGGAGAAGGCCATCGATGAGTACTTAAGGCTTGTCAAGGTAGGACCTTTGTGAACAGGATGAAATATTACTATAGAGAGTATCTTTTTCAGTGAACTGTGTATTTATAAACTTTGGCACAAAGACGCTATGTTATCCAGATTTCTGTTGGTGTTGTCTGATATTCTTCAAGGGCTCAAGGGTTGGTAAAGCAAAGGTCGGCGAGGCCTCTATAGCTGAGATGTTGCATAATTGTATCTAGACTAAGTTGCAACAGCGTTTTGCTTTAACACACAGATAAAGGAATGCCACTGTCTTTATCTTTGAGGATCTATTTATTAATTTTTATGTCTCCACGTTGGCAAAAGCCGTGGCCACAGGCGTCATGATGTTTTTGGGTTGTTTGTCCGTACATCCATCTGCACATCCGTCTGTCCCATTCTCGTGAACACTTTGTGGATTTTTACTGTTTTACTTATTAATATTCTTTACTTATTTATAATACTTGTTTGATCTTTTTTGCACTATGTCTCTTGTTTGCATTATCCACTATGCTGCTGTAATCCTGTAAATTTCCCCACTGCGGGACTAATAAAGGATTATCTTATCTTATCTTATATTACACGATATCTCACCAACGCCTGGAGGGAATTTCTGGAAATTTGGCAAAAAACATCCACTTGGACTCGAGGATGATTTTGTTGGTCAAAGGTCACAGAGACCTCACGAAACACGTTTATGGCCAAAGTTCAAGAATAAATATGCTAAAATAGACAATTTAGCACAAATTGCTAACAGGATAAAATGAAGTGATGACATTTTGGACAGACATGGATGCAAACTGCAACTTTGCAACAGGTTGATGGAGGCAACCGCAAGGCGGTAATTCTAGTTTTCAACTTATTAATGATTTATTTTGACAAGCCGAAACAAAAAAAGAAAGTACAAAAGGAGAGATTAATAGTGGAATAAAGTCTATCTTATCTTAATAAATAGTCGGGAGTAGATGGATTCATAATTACAGTTGCACTACGATACGTTCACGTTTCACTTTGAATCTGTTTGTTTCATGACCCCCTAAGACAATATTTCTCATACTTTTGTTCATAGTTTCAATCTAATAGGTGTTCTTCTATACTTCCTTTTATGTGTCTGTTAGTTTTCCCGGGGAAGGTGCATCCTCACACAGCCAGTTATACAGGTCTAGACTTTGGTAAATCCACTTTAATTGTACTCTGTCAGTCGATTACAGATCACCATCTGTGTGTCTTGTGTGTTCTGTCTGCAGAAAGTCGGGCGGGGCATTTGGCTCCTCGCTATGCTGAAGATCTGCCCCGTCCCCTTGGCCAAGTTCCTGGTCTACACCGGTCTGGCCCAACGTCTGTCCTTCTTCTTCAAAATGGCACCTCGCAGCCTGACGGAAGTGGTGAATGAGCTGACGGAGAACAAGGACCTCAGGGCTGTTTTCACCTACATCTTCGGCACCTACGGTTAGGCCGAGCTTCAGCAGTCCTGTTGGTGAGATGAGTTTATTTCTTCAGTATCCCGCTCATGCGTTTCCATCTCTGATCTGCAGGTAACATGCCTAAAGACAGCAGTTTCGCTATGCACAGCTTACTGGTCACCCACTACCTGAATGGTGCATGGTACCCGAAAGGCGGCGCCAGTGAGATTGCCTACCACATGATCCCCATCATTGAGAAGGCTGGTGGTGCTGTTCTGGTCCGAGCGCCAGTCAACCGCATCCTGTTCAATGACGCCAACGAAGCTTACGGTGGGAGTGTTGCTGTACGCGGTCACATCATGCAGCTCCCAGTGACAGGAGACTCACTGGGTTTATTTATCTATTTTTGTCATGGTTTCAGGTGTGAGCGTCATGAAAGGCCAAGAGGAAATACATATCCGTGCCCCTATTGTCATCTCTAATGCCGGCATCTTCAACACATACCAGAAGCTGCTGCCCAAAGAGCTCCAGGCCATGCCAGGTAGGGACTAACTGCTGCAACCGATGATTATTATTATTTTTTATTAATCAGTTGGCTCTTTAGTCTAGAAAATGCTCAGGTGACAACATCAAGTAACCCCAACACCCAAAGATGACATAAAACTAGAGAGAAGCAGCAAACTGTCCCACCTGCAAGGTTGGGCCTGGAAACAGTTGAGCCTTGGCTTGAGTTAAGCAATCATTTCAGTGTAAGCTGCACAACAGTACTTTGTTTCTAATGATTCTGGATTATTATCTCCGTGCGATGAATCGCATGATTACGTTTTCATGTCTCTTTTATCTGTGAGCTAAAGTTGTCTCCCGTATGACTCAACACAGCCATCCAGAAGCAGACGAGTATGATGAAGAACGGTGACGGTGGCCTGAGTGTGTTTGTGGGTCTGAATGGAACCAAGGAGGAGCTGGGCCTGAAAGCGGACAACTACTGGATCTTTGCCGAGAGCAATTTCGATGAACTGTATGTCATTTAGCATCTCGTGTCTGTTGCTTGTCACAATTCACATTTCTGGTTGTAGCCAAACACGGACTTGACTTTGCAAACTAAAAATGTGCTTTTTAGGAGCCAGGTCTTTTTGTTTTACAAATTTCTGAGCGCTTAAACTCAACCTGTAGATCTCAAAATGGGTCAATTCTTTAGTTCTAAACTTTACATGGACTTAAAGTTGCTCTAATATAATACAATGTGTCGGAGAGAATCACAGATTCACAAGGACTATGGTCTACAGACTATAGTCACTGCAGAAACGCACTGAATAACAGCAACTGTAAGGAGCTTTTTAGTCCAGTATTTTAACAGAAGATATCTTTATTTTGTATCTGTGAATTCCTCTGAATTACCTGTTGTGTTTTTAAAGGGTGGAGAAGTATTACAATGCAAAGAGGGAAGAGGCTGCTAATAATGTACCTCTCCTGTTCGTGGCGTCTCCATCGGCTAAAGATTCGACCTGGGAGGAAAGATCACCAGGTACAGAAACTGTCTTCACAGTGAAGTTAGGTTCATGAATGCACTCCACAATAATATGTTGTCCTGTGGTGTTTTTTTGTGTTTACCTTTTTAAATATTTATTTTCACATCAGGGAAGTCCACCGTGAGTCTGGTCAGTTTTGCCAACTACAAGTGGTTTGAGGAGTGGAAGGATGACAAAGTGACGAACAGAGCGCCGGACTACAAAGAGCTGAAACAGACCTTCATTGACTCTATTCTGGAGGTGGTTTTGGACGTCTTCCCTAAGATAACCAGAGACAAGGTAACGCTTCCAGAATCCGTCTGGTGTCCTCTCACTGCTCATAGGTTGGCACTCACGTTTTTAGTGTAAAAAGCCACTCTTGGGTTACAACCACCTCATCTACATGAACTTACAGAAATGTGGGAACATCTGTGTCAAAATTTAAAACTGCAAAATGTGGTTGATAGTTGTGAGTTTAAATAAGTTTGGTCTTTTTATTTATTTTATAGATATTTTTTTATGCCTTTATTATAATAATTTATAGTTTCTAGGATGCTATTCTTTCAGTAAATTATTATAATTGTTATGCATCATTTTACTATCACTTTTTGTTTCTGATTTTGTGTTATTGGTTTTATGTTGCTTATAACTCATTGTTGCACCAGGCTGGCTTTCCTGGCGTAATAAATAATATTCATATTGCCTGTTTGTTTTTTTTTTTGTGTAGGTTGAGTTCATTGATGCTGGCACCCCCATCACAAACACGCACTATATCGGAGCCCCCAAAGGTGAAATCTACGGAGCGGATCATGGCCTCGCCCGCTTCAGCCCTGAACTCAACGCTACAGTGAGACCTCAGACTCCTCTGAAGAACCTCTATCTGACAGGTCAGACCACCCGTGCAGCACAACATCACCCAGAGGTCGCCTGTAACTCCTGACAGGACTTTGTCTAAATTCAGTACATTCGGTGTGCTTTGTGTTGCAGGTCAGGACGTGTTTGTGTGCGGCTTCGCCGGCGCTCTCGCCGGAGCTCTCACCTGCGGCTCGGTCATCCTCAACCGCAACCTCCACCTGGATGCCATCGCCTTGGCAAAGAAAATTAGATTTACGAATGTCAAATTGAAAGAGGAGTAACTGCCTGATGACATTCAGCTGAGTGACCGTTGTACTTATACCTTATTTAATTAGCACTTACGTCTAACTCACAAAACACGACTCAAGAGCGCCTCAGCACAGAGGCCCTCAGACTAAACCTAACAAGTGACTTGTTTTTGCTATAATAAACTGGAAAACTGAGTTTTCCACACCAACTCATACCACTGAGCTGTGCCTACTTTGAAATATGCATACCTAGATTAATTCATGTTTGAATACCTCAGTCAACCTGCACCTATCAAAGCTAACGTGACCTCAACTGTTAATGCAAATGCTTTTTTCCTAAAATCAAATGTTGAAAGTCATCTGCAGTCTCTTAACTCAGTGCCTGAGGTGAAGTTGTATCATGTTTTACTCCCTTTTTTAATAATAAAGGGTACAAACAATGAATTAGTTTCAGTTTGGTCTTTGGTGTACCATGTATACATTTTTCCCAATATTTGGTCAACAGGTTAATTTAGTTTCTAACTGCATTGATTATTTTGCCACCTACATTTATTGCACCACCTGTAAGTCACATCTCTGCAACTTGGGTGTGGTACAACGTTTAGTCAGTATCAAAATAAATATATAAACATATCCTATTATTAAAATTAAACGGATTCACATAATAATAATACATTTATTTTGTATAGCGCTTTAATTCACTTTGCTGCCAATTACTAGGACATAAACTAAAACGTGTAAACTGACATATTGTGGCCCTTTAACTTCAAAGCTTGGTCATCATGTTTTATCTGGTAATCGTCTGGAAACCCTCATCCCAACCGCGACTGTTGTGTTTATTTGTTTATACATGTTGTTTATGTGCACCGACCACAGTAAATTGCCTGCACCTGAACGCAGCATATGGTTTTTGCAGTGACATTGACAGCAGCAGTGAGCACGTGTACAACAAGTGCGCTCTCCCCAAAAAAGACTGATGGAAGTACGGACAACATTTTGAGCCTTCTGATTAGTTGGCGAATAAAAGGGGTGTGATTTTTCTTATCATTTTCTGGCTGCAAGTTATGCTCCGACACTTTCCTGCAGGAAGCAGCATGGAGGCTAAAGTGCGCTCAGCAGTCTGAGGTAAAGTACAAACACCAGATGCTGTAACAACGAGGCTTAAATGAAACACTTGGTAATTGCATCAAAACATTATTACAGGTGGTTTGCGGCTGCGGTCTGTGACAGGAGGAGTTGACCTCCTAGCTAACCAGCAAACCTCAATTTACTCAGGGCCTCGTTGGCTAGCTCACTGAGGCAGTGTTGGAAGCAGGTAAATACGTCATATTTAACTGTTGTCATCCTGAAGCAGACTGTTCTCCAGACAGGCCGGGTTAATTCACCCTGAATCTGGAAAATCATGGACGTGTGCACTAAGCCTTTGTGCTACGAGCTGCTGGCAGAAGTAGGAGAAGGCTCTTACGGTAAAGTGTATAAAGCCAGAGAGGTGGGGGGGAAACAGCGCCTCCTGGCGGTGAAGAAATTCAACGTCCGCGAGGACTCGTGGGAGTCCGGGATCCCTGCTTTCATGATCCGCGAGGTGTCGCTGCTGCGTAAAATGAAGTTCTTCAACCATCCCAACATAGTCGAGTAAGTTTGTTAGGTCAACCTACAGTTTAAATTAGGCAGTCTAACAACGGTAAATAAATCATTCATGAGTGTTTTAATGTTCATTTATTATGTTTTTTGTGAGAGAGGACTGGATTCAACTGGAGACTGGTTTGTTTTGCTGTTGACTTGTTTTGCATTACACAGAGAGGTGTTTCTGGTATTTAGCCCACCCTCATTGATTAAATAAAATAAGATACACATTTATTTATCTCGAGGGAAATAGTTGTGCAGCAGTTTTTAAGGAAAGAGTGCAAATATAAAATATATACAATGCAACGTTAATGATATGGATCGTAAGTTGCTCATCGAGATATGTATGAAAAGTGTGTATGTTTGTAAAATATCCAATCTCAAGTACCATACATGCTTAACTCCGCATGCTGTCCATCATATTGCACATTAGGCTATGTCCCATACAAATAATACAAACACTCGTCAGCTGCCACAAACTACATCCTCCAAAATAAAATAAATAATAAAGTTGAAATGACGCCTCTTTCTGCAGGTTAGTTGTATTAGACAGCATTGGTTTGATCTAGGTGTACCGAATAAACTGGCAACTAAGTGTATATGACACAATTTAACAGGGTTGCATTGAAAAAAAACAAAAAAAAAAACGTCTACAGGCTACTTCATGCTCCAATAGTGTTATACATGCAGATATATGAGCCATTTTGTAATGTTTCTGACTTGTTGGGTTTGTTCATACTTATTTTAGAAACCATTTTTATAATTTGTCTTTTGATATTATTGATTAGGAGCGATCTGTGGCGAGAATGCATGGTCAAGAAATGTTTATAATATCTGAAGGACAGTGATGGCAGAACAATACCGAGTATATATAGAAGTACAAGTAGAAGTCTTGCATTTACATATTCCCTTAAGTTGAAGTAGAGTGTAAAATGGACTTATATGTATATAAATAGACCTATATATGGCTTGTCTCCATGTTTAGTTTTATTTATGTAATACTTGATAAAAGCAGTTGGTCACAGAAACAGAGCTGAGCATATTTTCATGTTGTGTTTAGTTTTTTTTAACCCCTGCTGATTTAAACGTCCAGGTTGTTGGATGCCTCTGCTGTGCCAGTGGGCAGGAGCTTGGACCTCACTCTGGTGCTGGAATACATTGACCAGGACCTGTCCACCTACCTCTCCAAGGCTCCTGCTTCTGGACTGAGCCGTGACTGTATTAAGGTGTGGACTCATCACCGGACTTATCATCGCATAGCTGCATGTATTTAAGTCTGGAAAAAGCACTGAAACAAACGCTTGCATACTTGCATACCTTTTTATTATGTGTATCTATCCTTATAAATACAGGATTTACATGTTCCCTTCTTCTTCACATTTGGGCAGCCAGTCTAGATACAATTTATTTATCTTTTGTGTGGCTTTGAAGCATTTGAGGCAAATTTTACACACTCCTACCGCACTCATTATTTCTCTGGTCAGACATCTAATATAAGAGACTTTATTAATCACTTTTCGACAGCAATCAATAAATGAAATGCTCTGACAAAAAACATCTCCTGGCTTTCGCAGGACTGTAATCAGCTCGTCCAATCATTTCATTCTTCTGATTGTTTAATGGCAGTTACATAAAGCACAAATAAGCACAACCACACCCAGGCCTCCGTACAACCCCGTGGGACGGTGTTGCATTGCCGGGTTTTGTGTGAAGGCAGTTGAAGTGCATGCTTCATCCTGCTGTGGCCTCTCTGCTCTCTGTGTGTGTTTGTCTCAGTCAACTGCCCAAAGGCTGATGCCCTGAAACAAACGCAGCTAAAGAAGAAAAAAAGAGAAAATATTATATTTGTATCGGTCTATTCATTGTTTTTTTATGACATTCCTGCATAGCATACCTTTAAACATTGACAAATGATTAAATAGCTGTGATATACAACTTTTTTTTTTGCTATCATAATGACTATAAAGCGTTTTAACTGCCTCTGTATTATTCTAAGCTGCCTGACTTGTATTATTACACCCTGTAGCCGCTTTTCCATTGTTTCAGTTCATGTGATGTGTTTACCAATAACTGATGGCAACCTGAATGTTAAATACACTGTGGTCTTTTAATATCTCCTGACTTCACAAGTTAATGAAAATCCACAAGTAAACAAATAAAGCAATGACTTTTGAGATACAGAGACATATTCAGTGTGAAAAATGGTCCCTGGGGTTTTTTTTGGCACATCTCTCAAGCCATTCTGCTGTCTGTCTGCACAGGATGTGATGCAGCAGCTGCTGCGAGGATTGGACTTCCTGCACACAAACATGGTGCTGCACCGTGACCTGAAACCAGAGAACATTCTGGTCAGCAGCCGCGGAGAAGTCAAGATTGCAGACTTTGGACTGGCGCGCATCTACACCTTCAATATCGCTCTCACTCCAGGTGTAAGTGAGGCAGCACATAGGGACATGAGCGAAGGCTGAAAAACAATTGAACACTGCTAATTCTAACGGCAGTTATCCTCTCCTAAGACATTTTAGAGCCTGTTTCTTTCCTGCACACAGCACTGCATTCTGTCTATTACTTAACCTGTTCAGGTGGTGACGCTGTGGTACAGAGCTCCCGAGGTGCTGCTGAACTCTGTTTACATGTCCACAGTGGACATGTGGAGCGCTGGCTGCATCTTTGCTGAGCTCTTCCTCTTGAGGTAAGATGTCTATGTCTGGCCGGAGGAGATGTATGAGGCCCTGGAGAGTGTAATATAAGAGGTAAAACATTCTCCTCACTTGTCACAAATAGAGATAAGTGTTACAGGAGGCTGTTTGTTATGCTTTGTTCTTTGAACACCTGTCTCCCACAGACCACTGTTTAAGGGATACACGGAGGTACAGCAGCTGCAAAAAATCTTTGAGTGAGTCTCTCTCTCTCTCTCTCTCTCTCTCTCTCTCTCTCTCTCTCTCTCT